ATCATAATCCCTGGGGTTTCCAAATCGCTTAAATCTAGTATGAGCTTTGTTTTTAGATGTAAGCAATTTAATTAAATTTTTGGAGAACCATTGAGGATATTTATTATTTGGACCATTAGACTTTGGAGTATATTTTTCTATGATTGAATGTATATTGTTGTAAAATAACAAAACAAATTCGTCACATCCCATATTCAATGCAAATTCTGTCCAATCAATTTTCAATATATCATTTTTGCAGCTTTCATAATCAGTTTTACGAAAACATAGTTTTTTAAGCGATGTGTTCTGTATCAATGTAGAAGGAGTAGTTTGAAGTATCAGTTCAAATGTCGGATGGTTCTCATCTACACGACTTATGTGTAGAGTAGGTGTAATAGTAAATAAGTCTGGACAGTCAGTTATAACTAGATCTAGTATTCGATCCTTATAGTTCTTATTAAAATTAAGTTGTCGCAATGTAGTAAGATCGAATAGGTCACATAAAGCTTTTGATTTTTCACAGTAATAGTTCAGAGGACAGCCAGTTTCAGTTGACCAGAGAACATGAGTTAGATTAAAATCACCCAATATACAAGTCCTGTGATTAGACATATTACCAACTATGTTACTACATTTTTTAATAAAATCACAAGCTGCATTTGCCGATAGATATCCAGGCAGATATGCAACACAAAGATTCATAGTAAAATCACCGTTCAATGAGATTTGTACCCACAAATCCTCCATATAGTCTGACTGCCAGTCATTTCTCACCAAAATTTTGAGTTTTTTAGAATAAGCAATTAGTACACCACCTCCATGATCCTTACCATACCGTTGACAAAATCCAGGATCACGATCCCTACGTACCACACAATATCTGTCATCAAACAGTTCAGAGGAAAATACATCGGCATCAAGCCAAGTCTCACATAAACATATTATATCAAAGTTATTACATAATACATTATTGTAAATATCAACAGTCTTGCTCTTCATACCTCTTATGTTTTGATAATAGATTGAAAGAGACATTTTAGCTATTAAGTATTTATGCAATTATTATTACCCGTTAAGGTACTTGAGTATGCACTGATGGTATTAATTTATTAGAGCAAGGCTATCGGTATTCTTAATCAATATATACTTAGAATCAATAGTTTTTCTAACATATATACGTCCATTTTTTACCCAAGTAAATTTATAGCCAAGTTCTTTCGCCTTTTTACGAGCTGCGGCATGTAAAGATTTGTTGGAAGGCGATAAATGTTCACTCACATACACTGGTTTCTTATCACCTGCAATTCCTAGTAATGATGTATTTAATTTGTCACTAGAGTTCGATCTATTATATCTATATACAGCAGAGTAAAAACTATCACGATCTTCTACGCATCTAAACTTGACAATTATAGTACGAGGTAGCTTGCTTTCTCTATTCAATTTAGCGACTCTAGTGCACTTTACTATTGCATATACACGAGAACATTGTTTCAGAAGATTAGGTAAATTTTCATTATGGTGCTCAGGTACACCTTGCATCTCCAAGTTGTTCTCGCGCATATGTTGCTCCAGATTATTAAGACGATCAGACAGTTCCAACACAGTGGACTTGAGTTCGAGATTCTCCCTAGAAATTAATGCATTATCTTTGGCTAAATTTTCTATCGCAGACTTCATTTCATCATGCATTGTGCTCAGGAAATCAACAGATTGGCGAAAATCCAACAAGTCATCCTTAATAGATGATAATTCTGTCTTCAAGATACTTGATATCATCTGCGGCAGTTCAGTTTTAATAGCTTTAAGTACTTGGTCACTTATAGCTGATACTAAGGCGTCCCTATCCTGTAATGAACCAGTATAACCAGGTATCTGTTGACTGTCCAATTGTTTCTTTCTTGTAGTAACATTTTCCGTACCAATCTCTTTATCACAAATTTTAGAAACCTCCCCTTCAACCTCCCTAAGGTTTCGCACAGGTGTATTGGTGTTTCCCACTTTTGTCAGTTTACTCCTGCACTCATGACATATCCACTTGTTTTTTTGCTCTTTATTCATAGAAGAGAATATCTTTTTATCCGACATATTTGCACATACAAGGTCATAGGACTTATAACACTTGCTACATTTTAAACATTCTCGGCTATCCACGCTGTTCCGACAACCAGCACAAATAGTACTCCTAGACGCCATCTGTGAATTCTAAGCGGTAACTGGTAATCAAACAATCAATTTGGTGCAGAACTGGATTTTGTTGTTATTCTATTACACTTCACAAACTTCAATGTATTTATTTAATTGTGTGGAGTCATAGTACAAAGTTGTTACTTAGTTAATAATATAATAAAATAATAATAAATATTATCATCCAATAATTTTGACGACTTAGGTTCGAACTCAGGCCGCCGATGCAAACACTCGGTTATGGAACGCAGTTTATCTGCAACGCCACGACACTCTATGACGACGAGGACGAATCACTTGTACAATTCCTTTGTTGTATGACGTAAACAAAGTGTGACTAATGCAATATAAACTCACTGCAAGTCACGTACACACTTTTTACATCACAACGTAGTAGTAGTAGTGTAGTAATCACACAAAATTGTCCATAAGTCACTTGCACTAGAAAAGACACCCACATTCAAAGTCACCGCTACAATAACACAAATTAAATAGTTAAATTTTTCTCTTGTTTACACAGTCAAAGAGGCAGAAACGTTTTCCAGTGGTATTTCTTCTTCTGGTTCAGCTCAATGTTTACTTTTTATTGTGTATTTTCCACTATTTCTATTTTTAATTGTTTATTTTATGAGGACTCGATATTCAAGTTGCACCTACCCGCAATTATATAATATAATAATAAACATATGGCCGATGTTGCCCCGATGGGTGGCCGGACGATCGCTAGGCTATCGAATTCAACTGCAATATTGCACAGCCAGTTCTATTGTTGTTTCAGTCACTCTCTTTGTTATGGCACAGTGTATCCTTTTCTACGCGACATTAAGTTTGCTATGAGTGAAGTGTGCCTGTTGCTATATTCTGTGTTTTGCGATCAGCTGCATTTTGACGTTAGGTTACTACTTAAAAATTACTGCTTTTGACATTTTAGTAAAGTTCTTGAATAATTTATTATCGAGGCATATGTCTAGACTCAAATTGTCTACAGCTTCACGCCTATTTAAGTAAGGTCGAATCCACAATCTCTTCTTTTTCTGTTTCTTTTTTAAAACAATATAAGCTGCTGCGACAAGTGTGATTTCGTCAGCCATTGTTGCCGGTTTGTGTAGCCCGTTTAGGAGTCTGCATCATGGGCCATACTATTGCAGACATATTGCAACACATTGCCCAGCCATAGATTGTGCGGCCATCAGCTGCATTAAAATATTTTTGTAATGGCCGGGCAATTAGTGGCCAACAGTGCAGCCATCAATTGCAGCAAAACATGGCCCGTTTAGACGCGCCATAAAGAATGCGATGCTCATGATTTTTGTTTTGTTTCAGAATGACGTTTCGATCGATATTGTAAATTGTAATTTCCTTTAATTTAAAACGCTATAGCTATAGTCATGGTCATAGCCTAGGATCCATGTATAAGTAAAAGTGTAAAAGTACGCGAGAGCTCAGAATTAATCGTGTTGCACAATGCATTTTGGTTTTATTTTGCCTATCCGTCAATATAGTCTTATTTTGGAAGTGATAAATTTTTCTTAGGCTAAACTTTCTTTAAGCTCAACTTTGTGTAATTTAATTTTGATTATGATTATACATATACCAGCTTTGAGATTATATTAAGTATGTAAATTTTAAAGATGTCGTTACACACAACACAATGACAATATAGGGTGTGTAATATTATTAAGTATATCATATTCTTGTTTGGTGGTTGAATAAAAGTTTGAAATAAAGATATAGATAGTAATAGAGTAATAGGGTGCACTCTACCTTGGCTTCATCGTTTTTTGAATGGTCAGCACAGTCGGTAGCTTCAGTCGACTCGCTGTGATTGATCGTATTTTTGATAAAAGAAGCAACTAAAATATAGACACATTCATTATTAATAAAAGTGATGGCATTTATATTTATAACCGACTTAACAAAATCCTTAGGTTGTCAATTAATATGTGTATTATTTTTCTGCATGTTCAAGCAAAAAGTGTCAAGGTGCCAAATGATTCTGATTGATAGTTGACTAATAGTGTTTTGAAGTGAAACTTCTAATGCGATAAACGTTTAACGCTACCATGGAGGGGTATGAAAGCACTGTTGGGTTAAACGTTTAACGGCCCTGGGGAGGGGGAATCGAAAGAGACAGAGCGAGAGTGAATGCGTAATTTTCTTACTTCTAAACTTCTTACTTTCTACCCTAAAAATCTTACTTTAGTTCTCATAATCCCATTGAAAATGTTACAGATTTGGATATTTCTCCACTAGAAAATGATAATTAAAAAATGGGATCAATTGTGAATTGTAAGCAATGTAATAAAGTTTGTCTTAAAAGAAACATTATGATTTCACTAAAAATCAATTTCTACCTCTTTCTATTTTGATTTCCACCTTACGAGGTTTCACTTCTTCCACGCGGAGTCCCTCCACGCACAATTTTTTTTTAACCAAAGTTGTAATATTTTGTTTCAGTCGGGGTTTTTGAAGAAAAATATGCAGTTTCATACCACGTACTGAAATTTATAATACCTATTGCAGATTTTCATATATTGCAAATCAAGGTGCTGCCCACTTTTATTGATCATACCGACACTAAAAAGTAGCAGGTGGAAGAAGCTTCTTAAAATCTTACAGGCAGCATTAATATTTCTTAATTTCTCTTAATTATTCATATAATCTATAAAGCTAATAGAAACATACAAATAAAGAATGATAAATATTGACCTCCCTGTGTAGAGCGATAAAGAGCATGCCCCTTATCAGACTTGCTAATGTTTCGCTTTGTACGTTTGTAGTCACTAGTTTTATTCGAAATACCATCAATAGGAGACGTTTTTTCAGAAAAAATGGCATTACGAAGTGGTGTTAGTTTTTTACGATTTCACGCATTACGTTCATCGAGTAGGGTACGTAAAAATATTGATAAAATATACCAAGTGAAATGGTCTTAAAATTTGTTATGGCAAAATCTAGGTTTATCAATTATCAGATTTTGATAAGAAAAACAAGTAAATAATAATTATGTAATTTAACCGTAGCTACAATAGATAAAATTTAAGTATGCGAGACGTAATCTTATAATTTAAAAAGTTTTCTTAATGACAGCTGGTATTATTTAATTGCGACGTGAACATAATAATTACGTCACGTACGTGTAGGTCATACAATTTAATTATGAAAACTATAATTACTCTTTTCAGTTTATTACATTAAACTTTTTCGGCTTTACCTTGGAAACAGGTCTGATTTTCCAGCGACAGATTACTTTTTTGAAACAAAGAAAATAGTCAAACCTTATCATATTTTATGCTAATGTAAAGAATCGTCTACAATTCTTCGTAATGTATGACATTATTTGCATATTTCCTGCTATTGAAAAGAAATGTTTTTTGAATATATTAAATTTTATAGGGTAATTGTATATGTTATATTATACGCAACATGTTACAATTAGTATAGGCTTAATTTAGAATTAGAAATTTTGACAAAATAAGATGGAGTATGAAGATGTTAAAATGTTGTACTATTGTTAATATGCTATATAGGAAAGCCCCAACGGACCAAATGGTCGTCTAAGTGTGGAAACTGAATCAGCACTCTATAAATAAATACCTACATACATGCTCTATAGGACTGATATCCATGAATAGTCCATTGAAATGTTACAATTTGAGGGCCAAACTTAACATTTGTTAGAGTACGCAATTTTATTTATGGGACCTGTAGGGGGGGGTCAATACAAGCTTAACCTCAAGTTTGTGGGGTTGGCGTGCTTGTCCCCCGGCCGCCATCTTGGAAAAAGGGGTCCAAAAACCACGTTTTTGGCTATATCTCCTAAACTATCCATCGTACATAAAACTTGTAAAGACACATTTTGTAGCAAATCGCTGTGTCTACGATTATGTCTATGTAACTTTTTATCATAAATCCAAAATTCAAAACGTTATAAATAAAAAAGTGATAGCTAGCTACCATTCTAATAACTGATTGATAATATAATTATGTCGAAGATTACCTCCCTAGATGTTCCATAAATAAAATTGCGTCCTCTAAAAAACGCAACCCCAAATGTAACTTTTCAATGGACTAGAAATTATATACAGTATTAGTGCAACCTTAAGTTCTTTAGGGCCGATTCGACCAAACAAGAGTAAACCTAAACCTTAGAGAAAAACCCCCGTTAACCCCGAAAAAAACCCTTCCTTCTTCCTCCCACCCCCAAATTAATAGGGGTGGGTTCTTTCGCGGCCACCCCCCCCCCCCCCCCCCCCCCCCAACCACCACCCCCCTTTTTTTTAATTATTTAATTGTTTTTTTTTTTTTTTTTTTTTTTTCCCCCCCCCCCCCCCCCCCAATTTTTTTTTTTGGGTTTTTTTATTTTTTCATTTTTTTTTTTTTTTTTTTTTTTTTTTTTTTTTTTTTTTTTTTTTTTTTTTTTTTTTACACCCCCCCCCCCCCCCCCGGCCCCCCCCCCCCCCCCCCCCCCTTTTCCCCCTCCCCCTCCCCCTTTTTTTTTTTTTTCCTTTTTTTTTTTTTTTTTTTTCCCTTTCCCTTTCCCCCCCCTTTTTTTCCTTTTTTTTTGCCCCCTAAAAAAAAAAAAAAGGGGAAGGGGGAGGGTGGGGGGAAAAAAAAATTTTCCCCCTTTTTTTTTTTTTTTTCGCGGGGGGGGGGGGTACCCCCCTCCCCCTTTTTTTTTCTTTTTTTTTTTTTTTTTTTTTTTTTTTTTTCCCCTTTCCCCCCCCTTTTTTTTTTTTTTTTTTTTTTTTTTTTTTTTTTTTTTTTTTTTTTTTTTTTTTTTTTTTTTTTTTTTTTTTTTTTTTTTTTTTTTTTTTTTTTTTTTTTATTTTTTTTTTTTTTTTTTTTTTTTTTTTTTTTTTTTTTTTCTTTTTTTTTTTTTTTTTTTTTTTTTTTTTTTTTTTTTTTTTTTTTTTTTTTTTTTTTTTTTTTTTTTTTTTTTTTTTTGTTTTTTTTTGGGCTTTTTTTTTTTTTTTTTTTTTTTTTTTTTTTTTTTTTTTTTTTTTTTTTTTTTTTTTTTTTTTTTTTTTTTTTTTTTTTTTTTTTTTTTTTTTTTTTTTTTTTTTTTTTTTTTTTTTTTTTTTTTTTTTTTTTTTTTTTTTTTTTTTTTTTTTTTTTTTTTTTTTTTTTTTTTTTTATGACTTAGATTCACAATACGAGTAGAATGATAGGCTACAGACTACTACAAAAATACTATAAAACTGCAAAAAAATACCTACTTACAGTTATTATCAACTCACACCAGACCGGAAGTACAACAAAATGGAAGAAAAATCGCTGAATTTCCTGGCGCGAAGGCACCTTACGTCACTGAAATGAAAATATTAAATGAAAGTAGTTATGAGCCTATTCCTATATATCGAGTGCTAGACAATAATGGAGATGTTTTAATTAATACCGAGGAACCTAACCTTGATAAAGAGGTTTTACTAAATATGTATAGGAGTATGGTTCAGCTCAATCAAATGGATAAAATCCTATATGAATCTCAAAGGTAAGTAATATCGTGTGATGCTTCATTTATTGTTTAGTGATTTGGTCGGACAGCATATAAAAAAGCGTGTGTCTACTTATGCACGCAGTAGAAGTTTTACTTCTTTGGCGTAGCAAGATAAAAATCTTATTCTACGTTTGTAGATAAAACGACTCTAACAATAGAAAAAAGGAATTAAATGACATTGAAAGTCTTATTATCTAGTTAATTGAAGTTTATTTAAATATTACAAAAAATACACTTCTACATAATTAAAGAAATTGATATTTTTTATTTTAGCATGCAACTTATAGGTACATATTGATATTTACTATTTAATTCACGTTCATTGGTTGGAGTTCAGTAGACATGTGAGTTACAAGAGGCTTATGATAGATAAATTATGATAAAAATATTCTTGTAGAAACATTGTCTAAATATCGTACAAATCGCATCAAGAGTTCTATAAAAAAATAATTATTTTTTTTTACTATAGCTAACTTCAGGGTGTCGGTTTTGAGTGACGGTGTGCGCACGCATCGTAAAAATTTGCTCTAATAATTTTTCCCTAACGCGCCTAAAGAAGTATAACTTGAATAACCGATGCGATTGGTTGATACATAAATCAAATCTCATAAATCAGAAGGCGGTGATAAAGCTCTTAAAGATTGAAGCTAAAGATGAATATAATAATCATTTTTCATGTTGTATTTCAGACAGGGTCGTATATCATTTTACATGACAAACTATGGCGAGGAAGGCATGCACCTTGGCAGTGCAGCCGCCCTAACACCACAAGACCTCGTGTTTGCTCAATACAGAGAGGTCGGCGTCCTTCTATACCGCGGTATGACTATGACAGAACTTGTGAATCAGTGCTATGGCAATCACGAAGATCCTGGTAAGGGAAGACATATGCCAGTCCACTATGGAAGCAAACAACTTAACATAGTCACTATATCCAGCCCTTTAGGTGAGTAACGTGTGTTATTTCTAATTACCAACTTTTAATACTGATAAAACTTATATTGTTATACTATAATGATAATAATATATTCTAACTAACGTTAGACATTTGCCAGTACATAAAAAAAATATTTTCGACGCTGTTGTAATAAAAATATATAAGATAATTATTTCCTTATACTACATATAGATATTCTTCTATATTTTATTTATATATGTTGTGTACATATATATTTTAGCAACACAAATGCCGCAAGCGGTAGGAGCAGCGTATGCATTCAAAAGGACACCAAACAACGATCGTTGCGTCATCTGCTATTTCGGAGAGGGAGCGGCTTCTGAGGGAGATGCTTTTGCCGCCTTTAACTTCGCAGCTACGCTTGAGTGCCCAGTTATCCTATTTTGGTAAGCTATTATTAATTTAATTTTGTAGAACAGGGGGCAAACGGGCAGGAGGCACACCTGATGTTAAGTGATACCGCCGCCCATGGACATTTAATGCCGGAGGGCTCGCGACTTCGTTGCCGGCCTTTCATGAATTGGTACGCTCTTTTCTTGACCCTAAGTCGAATTGGTTCGGTAATACTTCAGTGGGTAGCTGGTTCCACAAAATTGTGGGCGCGACAAAAATTGCCTTACATAACACTCAGTTGTGGACATCGAGATTATACGTGTAGAATTTCGCATTCTGCCTCGACGTCCGATGATGAAACTCAGCTGCAGGTAAAAAAAAACAACAACATTTTTTTTTAAATGTTATATCGTTAGCATCTATCGCTCATCTTCGGGCAGGCACAAACATTTCATAACACACTTGACACATATCGTGAAATCTTTTATATTAATATGATTTTTATTTCAATTCGATACTCTATTTTTTAGTAGAAACAACGGCTATGCGATTTCAACGCCAAGTCGCGAGCAATATCGCGGGGACGGTATCGCAGCCCGGGGGCCTTCAATGGGAATTCACACTATTCGAGTGGACGGAACTGATACATTGGCCGTCTACAACGCGGTCACAAAGGCTAGAGAAATGGCTCTCATGAACAAACCTGTACTTATTGAAGCTATGTCCTACAGGTATGAAAATTAAACTAAACACATTATTAATATTATGTTTTTATACATAATGAATGTCGATAAAAGTTTTTAAGTAGAAAAGAAAATTCATTCGAATATTTCCTTTTTGCCATCAAGGGTGGGTCATCACTCCACATCAGACGATAGTACGGCGTATAGATCGTTACAGGAAATTCAAAAATGGACGACAGACGAAAATCCCGTACAGAAATTCAGACTTTATCTGGAACGAAAAGGTACAGGTGTACTTTTTAAGTGTAGTAATACTACTACAAAATATTAATTTTAGAGGAAAGCTGTTTGCATTCATATTTATTAATTAATCAATCCGAAAAAAAAATAAGCCAAAATGACTTTTGCTACTAATAAATTTAATTATTTTAGTAAAAACGTAGATCTCCTGTTTGATTTGTAATGATATTCAGGACTGTGGAACGAAGAAGCAGAAAACGCTCTCGTCAAAGATTCGCGAAATTTCATCGTAAGAACGATGCAGGAGGCTGAAAAGAAGAAGAAACCTCACTGGAAGGAGATGTTTGAAGACGTGTATTATGACAAGCCATTTCAATTACAGTAAGTAAACATTCTCTTTCTCATACGTAGTAATAATTCAATCAAAATTTTCTTCAGTAAGTCATTTGAATATCAAATATTGTTCAAACTCTTCAGTATGATATTTACGTCAGACTTTCTGAAAACCTCCCCTCCTCTGAAAATCACTGCAATGACGTCAAACCCTGTAACGTGCCATCAAATTTATTCCGACCTCTTAGGATATATGTATACAAGTTCTCGACCTTGGCCACTGGGGCCTTCAGGTTTACCAGATCCACCCTTTAGGTTGAAGAAATTGTTTACCATTCTCACAGAAAATTCCGAATTATAACATTGAATGGAGGAATGGATATGGTATGTAGGACAACGAGTCGTTCTTTCATTTACTATATAGTGAAATAATTTAAATCTGTAATAAACGACATTGACTACTGTTGGATGTCAGCTAGTTACGGATGTCCGTGAGTTATAAAAGGCAAAGCAAGATCGTCGAACGTTCGATTGTTTGTGACTGACTCCCGTTTGTCAAAAGCAAACTTAGCGCTAAATTTTGACTTTGAATATCAGTTCTAGTTGTTGCGCCAGGGAAGTAATAGTAGTAGTTAGCCATAAGTATGATATATGAACCCAATCTTTATTTCCAGAAAACAAATGCAGGAATTTGAAGAACATTTGAAGAAATATGGCGAGCACTACCCGTTGGATAATTTTCAAAAGGAATAAAAAATAAACTTCTATTATATTTTAGTTTTATTTAATTAATTGGTGTAACCTTTATATTTAATAACTTTATACCATTGCCCCTTTACAATTACTCACCACATTCGTTGAAATACATTTGACCCAAATATTTATGTAGGTATAATCCGAAAAGTGCTAATCCGCGCCAATATTGTATTAGACTTGCAGATCGCACAATACTTGACGTCATTTGTCGCCTGCGTCTTACTAGAATGAACTAAAAAAGATATTTCTATGTAATTATCATCACAATATGAAAATTTTTTCCTAAAAATAAAATTTGTATTATGTTTTCTAACGGCTGCTTTCTTTCTATCAATCCCAATCCAATTTTTACTACTATAGAATGATTTCAATCCATTTCTTATAAAATACTATTTAATAAACGATTGATGGATCGATAAGTCCATCTGTTTTTGTAAACCATCTTTGGGAGGACATACCGGTTTTTTTTTGGATTGATATTTGTATGAAAATTATAGATAAGACGTCCGAGGAACATTATGAGAGTTCATCGTTTCCGTTTCCGCTCAACGCGAGTTAGCAAACCTTTTCCTAATTCCTTTGCCAAGATCGTTGCCGAGTGCCAACGCCCAGCGGGCAGCGTGTGAAACTGGAACTAACTTAATACCGCGCTAAAGCAAGTCGCCAGAATTCTTGTTCATTGTTTGTCTAATAAGAGAACCAGGAATAGCTTGTTAAGACCTCGGACGTCTTAGGAAACATAATAAAAAAAATATTTTAAGGTAAAATTTTCATGTGTTCCGTTTGCAATTTAAAAAAAAATTACAACTTTTTGCCTAAGTTTTCAGTCAATGCAAATAATACCAATTCAAATGTCATTGATTATTAGTTATTACTCAATGTCAAAAACATGTGCACACTGCCTTGTTGCGGATAATAAATATGTTATGGACTATGGTACCTAAATAATAGTAGTAGTTAGTCCTTAGTCCTTACTAGTTGTAGTTATAACTTATAGTTATTAGTTATAGTAGTTACTACCCTTGGCCGTGTGACAATATATTTATTGTGTTCTTACGTTGTAGATTTATTACTTTTAAGGTTTAACATTATTAAGCTCCAAAACTAACCATTCAAATGTCGACATTTATCCGAACCGATGTTACCTGCGTAAAGTTTTACCAACAGTTCGTATTAGCAGGTATTATGAGGATCACATTTAATACTATTCTATCCTATTTTTTTATATTGCTGTTTTCTTATGGCAAACATACGAATTATCTTCTTTTTCTAATTTTAGGGATCGGAAGTGTTTTACATGTATTTTTAAGAGATGTTGACAAATTAAAACAAACATTAAGCGTGTTAAATGGGCAAAAAATCTACGGAATTGTTCCTTCAAAAACGGACAATAAATTAATAATTTTCGGTGGCAAACAGATAGAAATTGTTGAGCTTGATGTTGAGAAGGATGTTTTTTATTGCTGTTTTATGCCTATATTGTGTGATGACTGGGTTCATTCAGCTGTATGGAAATCTAGTAATATAATTGCAATACTAACAGCTCACAATGTTGTGGAGGTACTATTTAAAATACAAATATTAGCCAGTCTTGCAAAATTACCTAAATATAATCACAAAATGTAAACTTTTTAGACATGGAATACAGAATTTCAAATGCAGTGCAGTCAAAATAAGAGTAAAGAGAACTCAATTTTATACTGTGGGCTACTAGTTAATCTTCTAGATGATGTATTAGTACTAAGTGGTACTGTTTTTTCTGAGGTTCTCCTCAGATTTCCCGATGAAGAAACATTTTATTCATTAAAAGGGCATAAGGTATACTATATTTGCTACTGTTAGTGGTATAAAATGAAGTTTTTAAATTATATTATTTATCCTTTTAAGTTTACCACTGTTTCAGGGTGTCATATTTTCAATTACATGTGACTTCAAAAGAGGAATTATAATAACTACTTCAGATGATAGGTCAGTGAGAATCTGGGAAGTTCAATCCCAAATTGACAAAACATTTGACACTAAGGTATCTTGGACAAATGTGGAAAATATACCATGTTTACATGAGTTATATGGTCATGGGGCAAGAGTGATGAGAAATTGTATTATCAGTGATTATGTTGTTTCTGTGGGGGAAGATTCAGCTATATGCTATTGGGACATTAATGGAAAGCTTCTAAGAAAAGTAACATCCCATACCAATTCCTGTATATGGTCACTAGATGCAGAAGATAATTACTTAGTGACTGGAGGAGGAGATAGTGCAGTAATTATTCATCCTTTATCAGTTATAACTGAATACAATAAAAATTGTCTAAGCCTAAATTTGAATATTATATCACCAAAAAAATTAGCTTTTACAGCTCAAAGGAATATAGTCATTATGACAGACTGCAATGAGTTAATTTTCTACAATGCTGATTCTAATACTAAAACTGAATTCAAACTAAATCATGAGACAACCTATAAACTCTTAAGTGTTTCATCTTGTAAACAACTTATAGCTGTAGTAGATATGTCAGGAAAATTTGATGTCTTTATTGAAAATTGCAAAGAAAATGTTATAAATAATATCATAGATACTAAACTTGACGTTGGGAAAATAATGTCCATGCACTGGGCAGGAAACCGCCATTTAGTGTTTTGTGCTGAATTAGGAAGAATAACTATTTTGACTGCTGATAATAAAATTGATATCTTTGCCACATTTAATTTACCAAAGTGTAAAGAGCGATGGCTGACAGCAGTAGCTATAAATGGAGACAATCTTATAGCAGGTGACCGATGTGGTAACATACATATATATGTTAAAGGAGAAATGGGACCAATTAAAACATTTAAGCACATTCATGGAAGATATGGACCTACATCAATAAAAATTCTCAATAATACTGACTTTATTACCACTGGTAGAGATGGATGTATAAAATACTTCTCTTTGACTAGGTATTTGTATAGCAGAGACCTTGATTATCCCTGGGTTGAAAGATTTGTTGACAATAATAACAAGTATGTGTGTGGTTTTCAAGAGCGGACCTTCATTGTATACGATATTGTACATAATATAAAGGTTTTAGAAGTGCAATGTGGGGGAGGACATAGGTCCTGGGATGTAATACGCTACATACAGAAGAGCAATGAAGATTTTAATGAATTTATTTCATTTATTTATATCAAGGAGTCGAACATAAATTCACACACATTTCAATTAAATAAAATAATGTCCAGAAGTATTTTTACTGGAACACACTCAAAAGAAATCAACTGTTTAGGTTCTCATAAATATCCTTTAGATTCATCTATAACATATTTTGTATCAGGTGGTGAAGATACCACTTTGCGCATAACAAGTTTAAACTCTGCAAATCAACTCAAAGAGGAATTAATATTTAGACACTTGTCCAGTATAAGAACGGTTAAGTTAAAAGAATTACATGATAATTCTTTGCTTGTGGTATCTGCAGGTGGTCGGGCACAAATCTGTATACGAAGGATTTTATTTAAGAAGATTGCAAGTAGCATTCATGTTTCAGGAGAAGAGTTGGTGAATCATATGATTAAAGGAACAGACAAAGAACGTACAGAAAGTCGTAAAAGAGGTTGTGAAACTGATTTTGATCCTGAAACAAGAGTGATGGATCTAGAAATTTTAAGCTCAGATAATGTGAAGTTTTTAATATTTGTTGGGTGCTCTGATGGTAAAATTAGAACATTAGAGTTTAATCTGCACAATAATGAAATCAATAATGTAGATTACATTGAAAAAGGCTTATGTTTTTTAAAGATGAGATTATTAGAACTACCCGCAAGAAGAATGTTAATATGTTCTACATCACATGCTTCTTTGTATATCTGGGATTTGCCACAATTAATTACAGACTACGAGCAGCACTATTTAATTCATAAATCTGGCGTAAATTGTATTGCTACAGCAATTATTTCTGATACTGACTTTTTAATGGCTACTGGAGGGGATGATAATGCAGTGTTGTTGAATTATATGTCTGTAGAAGAGTGTGTGGTGGTAAAGAAGGAGGTTTGGACAAGCGAGACTAGCCATTGCTCTCAAGTGACAGGTGTGCTAATAGTAGACAACCTTCTTGTATCAGCATCCATAGACCAAAGAGTCACGGTATTTGAATGGTCTCTTCTCGATAGACTCAAGTGTGAATTTAGGTCGCAAGTATTTAGCGATGTAGCTGACATACAGGGTATACAACTTCTTCAAAGTGATAAGTAAGTACTTTATAACCTAGTAGTCCTAGTACATATCCGTTAAAATATTTCCATGCCTTCTGTTTTTTTTTTAGTGAAAAAAGACAAAATTTTAGAATAGTAGTATCTAGCTGTTGAAGAACAAAGTCCATTTATAGATTTTATCTATGGTTTACGTGTTGTAAAACCGAATAGATATCGTAATAGAAAAGTAACGTTACAATTTTGTGTGGAAAACTTAACTAAATGAAAGGGCGAACAATGCTTTGCAAATCTTTGAATACATGTAGATACTGAAAGTATTATAACATTGTATCGTAATTTACATAAATATATGACGAAAAGTAAATATCCTCTGAGCTATTAAATTGATGGGTTCGTGAAAATTAGTGGAAAAAAGAATGGCTTGTGAAAATGAACTCCAGAGGCTTTTTAAAACTGTAAAATAACCCTACGGTCGCCCTCCCATTAACTATTAGTTTATTTTAGGTCATCATTAACAGTTTGTGTATTTGGGAAAGGCATCGAAGTGATGTTAATTCAACGCCCTCCGCCGCAGTCACACTAGTATTAAGTTTAAACTAGATATTTTAAAATACAAGATTTTCTGGATCAACAGAAACGTAAGTGCTTTTACAATATTAAACAAAGATAATTAACTGAAATACAGTAATTTTGTCTAGATGTGTTTACAGGAAACTATTTTTTTAATTTTACTGCTAAATCTGTTATCTGTATAAAGAGAAAAGTTTTTTTTTGTATGGGACTATTGGATCGATCGTAGTCATCATGTCATCCGTGCGAAGCTCGGATTGGCCGCTTATTGATATTATGATTATAATATAGTATAATTATATTCTCAATCTAAAATAAGTCTTGGCAATACAGTATTTTGTCTGACTTGAAAAGACCTTGGTTGGTTGACTTGGTTCATAATAAGAGTATTTAACTCTTAATAAAATAAAATATAAATAGCCTTAATTCGACTACTGTGATTTAAGTTACATTTTGTTTATATTATTATTATATTTAATACTATTACACATCCTCCTTAAAGCGTGAAAGTAATCTACTATCTAGAATACTAATAATAAACTATAGATACTGGGTGTCCCATTATATGGGTGTTTTTTTTTTTCGAATATCGAAATGCATACCCCTTAATTCTTTTTAAACTACCCAGACCTACTTCAATACAAAATTTTATCTTCCTATGTCAACATGAACCGACAAAGCCGTGAAGATTTTGGAAACTAAACTAAACTAAATAAAATTAAATATTTATAAAGATCATAAGTATTTTCTTAAAATAACATAAAATTACAGATTAGCAAGTATATTTTCCTTTAAGGATCTTTTTTACTGTCTGGATATAGATTTCTATGCTCTTGCACACAGCGTAGTAAAATTTGATTTTGTTCTTCCTTTGCAGTGATTAAACCATGAAAATCTTGCATAAGCTCTATAAGTTGTATAATTCCCTGCCCTTAAAGAGAGAACCTTTCTTTTTGCCTGTATAGACAACACCTTCTTTCCACGTAGAAATAGGTTTCTTCATGAAGTTTTCATCAATTTTTAAACGAGAAGAAAGAAATAGATTTCAGCTCTTGACAGACTCAACATCACTTAATGATTTTTCTGTAAATATAAACAAATCTGCTATCCGATTGTTTATTCGACGAAAGATTGCAGGTAACCTACAGTAACAAATATTTTTGGCTGTAGCTAATAATAAAAAACGTTTAAGGTCTCTATTTAAATTAATACATATGATAATATGATTTTAGTAAGGAATGGAACATTTAATTTTTGTCTCAAGTGACAAGTTTTTAAACAAAACTGTCGTTTAGTTGTTGTAAATATATGAATTTTACCAGCATATTAACTACAATAGTTAATAATGGAGTGTGAAATCGTAAGTACCTATTTGTTATTATACAATATATAAGATTCACTGACGCTAGTTTTGCGCCTAATATATTATGAATTTAGGCAAAAGGCAAGCCTCTTACAAAAGAGAATAAGATAAAAATCACTTTATTTGACGAAAATACAATTACATTTTGTACTTACATTCTAATGGTTATAAATATACAATATGCAACGAATCGTTGTGTCCTCACTATTTTTTTATGTTCTCACTCGGAGAAATCCAGGTTTTTGATAGACCTTATAGAAGCCAGCAAAATAATTACCACCAAAACTACGAATGCCAGCAACAATAAATTGAAAAACGGAGAGTGGGTTAATTTAACTGAGTGCTTCAATGCTTCGACTACGAGCAGACGTAGGACCTAGCTGCGATTAAAATGGGAAAATTAAAAAAAAACTCGCAAACGCTGCATTAGGATGAACCTAATTAAGGTTAGCCAGTGATAGTAGTTAATACTTATTTTTGAGTTTTATCCGATTTTAGTACAATTTATATTCTATTTACAAATCTTTTCAGACTGGTGGTGTACTTCCAGTGGATTTACTTTGCCATTTGGGGGTGATAGATAAATAGAGGGGCTTTATGGTGGCGTGCTGATGGGCGGTGATGGTAGAACAAGTGGGGATGGTGATGCGACAGTAGCTGTGGAACTAACCGAGGTGGTAGATTATATGCCCATGTCCTCCGATCGTGCTATAAAGATTGTGATATGTGATGGTGAAGGTGGTGGTGAGGAGGTGTCGTCACGGAGACTGCTTCTGCAAATGTCACTCCAAATAGACCAAATAGATTCACATTTGCACAACTAGGACAGGTACTAATAATTACGTATTGCATCTTAGGCGGATGCTATACGCTCGATATATTTATCTAGTATTTTTTTGGTTTACTGACACACTTTTTTGGTACACATTCAATACGAATCGCGTCATTACGACGGTAAATTTCATTTCTTTGCAATTACGTCTTTAGTTATCGCGCCTGGTTTAATTTTCTTATAAATTTCAAGTAGCTGCTCATACGCATTCGCCCTTTTCACTTTATTTAAACTGTTTGCACTTGAGCTGTCCCATACCTCAGGTAGTGTTTCTACAAGTATGAATTTTTTCATGTGTTTTTGACTTTCACCTCAATATGCGCGTCCTCTTCCATCGCTGGCAGAATTAATATTGACGCGATAAGTATCGAGCGTACGATTCAGATTAGATTTTTATATTTCTAGAAATCCAGCGATCCGTATCACGATACGCCTGTACTGAAATATTGATCATGATCATACTTTCTTTAATATATTACCTACAAAATAATGAACCCATCAATCGACCTAACATTTATTAATTTTTCAGTGAGAAAGAAATTTAAAGTAGATGACAGCCGGACTGCGAAAAACAGTGTGATAGCTGAATATTTCTCAGCAAAGAAGAAATGCTTAGATGCTAAATTAGATAATCTCTTTTTATAAAATGAAAATTATTAATTAAAAAATGCACAACTATCATTAGAAATTGAAAAGTTATAATTAGAATTAGAGAAATGAAAGAAATAATACTTACAGTATAAATATAATAGTTGTCAATATTTTTTATTATTATAATAAAAATATTGGAATCAAAATATAATTCTTTATTAGTTACTGCCCATTAATCCAAAAATAAACCAGATAAAACAAACAGATCAGTAAATTTGCTACTGAAAATAATTCCTAATAAGAACTGCTCTTTCTTGGACATCTTCAGTATGTGAATGTTCATCAGTTTCTGAATCTTCTAGCAGAAGAACCACTTCTGCAGGAAGTTCCTACAAATATTGTGTAACACAGAAGTTGCAATTGCCTGGGCATTTGGTTATGACAAGCGCGTTGTTAGAGCCACTATAGGAAATCTTCGATTCCAAATACCAATCTGAAATAGCAGAAATAAATTGATACCAGATAATATTATCGTTGTATGGTACTACATTAGCAAAATACTACTAGATGTTATGCGGGCTAGAAAACATATTAATATTATGTACTATATTGGGAGTCAAACTATAAATTTTAAAGTTGTTTGAAATTACCTCTCTATAGTATTTCTAGTTTTAATGTGTGCTTCTTTATCTCTGTTCTGCTTCAGTAACTGGATTTCAAAGTGGTGTTAATAAATACATATGATCTTTTTGGATAAGCACTGTCACAAAGCATCCAGCGGCTACCATATGAGTGCAATCAACTGAAGCAAACACACGAGGGAACTGTGCAGTTTGGTAGAACTTTTCTACACTTTGTTGGTGAACAAAAATATATTCATCATACAAGTGGGCGATTGCTGATGATATATCGCGCACAATTCGGCCTGCTGTTGATTTAGAGACTCTAACAAAGTCAGCTACAGAAATTAACATTGTTCCTAATGCATAAAACCTTAATGTTAATAACATTTGATGCAGTGGTGTTACACCATGATTCCTGTAAAATAAAAACATTCAACGTATTGAGTAAAAAGGCGTTTTAAATCTAAAAATTGAAAGTACGTAATAAAAATGGGTTTAATCGTGTTAACAGAGTCTCCACCGCAGGTTTAGATAATTTCACCATGCCTCCTGCTAATAGAGGTCGAATCTTTATTTTTAATTTATTATTATTTATTACTTACTTAAGATGTCATGTGGAACAAAGTGTAATGGTGGCAGCTCCTTACAAACGTTGTGTAAAACAAAAACTTGGCGATTAAAAAGAGTGGCGGATTGCCAGTTCTTCTCTTCCGTTCTACGCCCTTTATTTGAGAACTGGCAGTAAATGTAAAATTAGAAGCATTTAATGTATTTTTTTATTGAGGTTCATAAGTGTACATTGTGTTACCTACATGAATAAATGATTTTTGATTTGATTTGATTTAATCTAAACCTCAATGTGAACTCCTCAGCATCATCGAGAGTCTGCATACAGTTCACCCTTTTTAATCTTCGGGAACTCGCGCGCAGTTCGTCTGATTCGCTATCAGAATCCGATAACAACAACAAATCACTATCGTCACTGTCACTAAATAATAAATGCCATGGCCATTTCTATCTACCAACTTGTAATCCAAACAGCAAACTGCTGAAATTGTCAGATTGCAATCTACGACTGTTTAAACGGATTAAAGTATACGTCAAAGTAGATGGATTCAGGTCAGTCAGAGGTCAGTCTTTAATCCGTAATCCCAAAGATGGTTTGCTATTTAAGATACCAAACTCAATCCGAAGATAGTTTATTAGCATGCTTAATCCAAACAACGGATTGTAATACCAATCTTAGATGGAAAAAATTGGATCAGGATGGATTATTAATTTCGGCCGTACTTTTATTACTTCTAAATTCCACTGTCATTTTTTAAATGTAAGACAATACGTGTTAATCACGAGACTAACTTCTACTTCCGCGTAACTTGTATGGACTTTATTCGATGCAAGTTTGCAGGATTATCGTTCTCCAAATAAGGTAAAAATCTAAAAGCGTTCAAATATAAGGGACTGTATAAATTAATTCTAATAGATACTGTAAAATTATACTCGTAATATATAACATTTGTATTTTGAAATATAAATTAGCAATTGTAATGTTCATTTTAATAACCTGTAATAAAATACCTACGTTTAGGCCCCAACCATCTTATAACAGCGCTCCATTCACATTAATAAGGTAAAAACTAAAAGCAAATCTCAGGTACTTAATATTCCCAAACAAGGAAAAGGTAGAAATCTGTTTACAAGGTTTTCGCAAAAAACTCTGCGTATTACTTTCCTTAAATATGTTTTACATATTCAGTATATGCGTTTCATGAATTTTCTGCACATAAGTATTATTTTTTAAAGCTCTCCGCATAAGTTTTGTTCACATATATATTAAACTAGCAGACCGGCCAAGCGTTGCTGTGGCTAAGGTTTTTGTTATATTACATAGTAGCAAACTATTCAAGGGAAACGGTAGGAGAACACCAGTCATGGGGACCACCATGCTTTTATGGTGGTTATGCCATTAAATTGTTGCTTATGTGAAACGTTGGTACTTTCAACACAGCGCCATCTGTTAGAGAGATGTAAGCTATCCTATCTTTTAATTTGATCAAACTACACACGGTGTGCAAATTGGAATGAAATCGGTTCGGTAGTTTAGGAGTCCATAGCGGACAAACAACGTGACACGTAATTTATATATATTAAGATTATGCTCACATTTAGAGTTATGTAATGTTATCTTTTTGCTGTAAATTTTGGAAAATTACTGGTAATGTATCTTTAATCGCAGCTCAGCTCATTTAAAGTAAATTAAAGCCGACCTCCGTTATTCGTTGACACAGTAAATATTGAAATCTCTAGAACAATCGTCTTGTAATCCCCACGGCGGATTTGCAATGGGATTTATCGTTAATATTACCTGCGCATGCATCTTACATTGATGCACGTCAATAAATAGATTATAAAGTCAATATTGATAAAAGAACCACAATCTTAACACGGTATTTTATTAATAAAAATACAAAAAAACTCGGTTATTCTACTTCTGTGTAAAGTACCTAAAAATTTAATATCTGAAACGTGTAATAATTTATCCTAAATATTTTTTTTGACAACATAAATAAACTTCAGCTTTGTAAGTTTATTTATGTTGTCATCATTGGACGTGTCCTTGGGGGAAAAATCTTGTGATTTCAATTGTTATTTTATATATGTGCAATATATGCGCATAATTAAATAATGTGTAATCATTTCTTTTCAACTTTTCCCTTGAATTCATTTTGATAAAAAAAGACATTGGCAGGTTAAAGAATACACAATAACCTTAAACATTGAGTTTTTAAATACATATTATTATACTAAATATATTTGAGCAGTGTACCCTTGTTAACTCTCCTGTATTAGTACCATCTAAACCATGTCCGATGTGTGATTCATTTACTTTATAGGTGATTAAAATTTATATTTTTCTTCTATGATGTCTGATCAGCCCAATACTCCGATTTCTGTATCTGTCAGCCCTAACAGTGTCTATCTCATAGATTAGATAGCTGGCAGGTGGCAGTATATAACATAATCATTACACAACACCACTCAGACGCGGTCCAAGCTCACGACGACACGTTATCTTATACCTCCCTGTTAACGTGAGTATTTTTTTCACGCTATTAGAAATATCTCTAAAAAGCCTCGGTGGTCGTGACAATACTTTTCTTCAGACTTTTATAATATAATAACTGATGACGTATTGCGATAAAATCTACTTTGAAAAGTTCGAAAGCGATTGTTTTGTACTAACTAGAGTTGTTTTGTGCGTAACCCGTTGATCAGCTCTATGTATATTTGGTGAAAGTTTGTACAAGTTCAAGTTTGAAATGCATAGCTACCAAGTAACGTCGTATTTTTCGACGACAGCCGAAAGCAGTACAATTTATGATTCGTTTTGACAGTGTAAATTTTATAACTTTTTTATAGATTTTAAATTATCTAAAATCATTTTATTAAAAAGAAATTGAAGAACGTGAAAAGCTAATATTCGTGATAATCATGTTATGTACGTTGTATTAACTTTTTGACTCTACGTAAAATAAATATAAGAATAATTATTTTTCTACTTCTAAATAGATTCGGAATATTATCAACAATTTCAGTTTTTTATCAGTCGAAGGAAATTACTTTCATGTAATAAATAGTACGTAGTGGATATCGTAAGCCATTAACTAGTTATTTAGTTATCAGATTATGTTTATGGCGGTTGTGATAATTATATACTCCTTAGAAGAGTTTCTACTCGAACTGTAATATTAAGTACTAAATATATTTGGCGGTTTTTATCTTTAACCATTTAATATACCAAAAAAATTACTATAGATAGTAAGATTAGTTTAGAATATATGATAAAACAACCACTTTAGTTTTACATCGATAAGTGGTATTAAAGATGTGATTGATAGAGCTTTAGATATCTTTATCAGGAATTTTAACTTTTTTAGATGATATCTCGTTTGCTTTTTTCGACGGAAATTTAACGATGAAAAAAAGTTTTTTAAAAGAAGAGGAAAGATGAAGAAGGTATCAGATGTACGTAGTCGATATACCTAATATGACACACCTCCAAAGATCTGCCGTGGAATGTTGTTAAATTAGAAACATTAATCCGATTTCAGAATACTAATTTTAAATTGGCCAGTTTATTATTGTTATCTTCATGCGTTAAATAAAAAAATACTATGTAAAATTAGATGTGTTAGGTCAATAACCTCCAACATTCAAGGACGTCTTCCTAATTGGTTTATGGGCGTGGCTTTTTACGGTGCCTTTAAAAGCGTATTGTTATAATTGTAAAAGATAAGTTTCCAATGTTTTTTTTATTCGTGTTCATGTACCATCAGAAGGTTTCTTTCCTCATTACTGCAAAAGATACCTCAGTTTCCCGAGAAATACTCTACGTGACATCCATCAGTTCTCGTAATTTTATAAGAAACATTTAGACTTCATTATAATGTGGGCATTACCTCTCGTCACTTATAAGTTTCCGCGTACTAAAAGTGACGCGTCTTGTACATCATACGACAGTATGGGATGACGTCAGGTTGTTTATAAATAACATACATATACACCATACGTTAGTTGTGGAGGCTCGTTCTTTGGCCAGCGAACGTATATTTCGTTTTGACATTTCTGTAACCTTCTAGTTTATTTAGGTTTAGATAGGGTGAGGAAACGATTTATTTGTTCTCGAGTGAATTGTTAAATGCTGTTGGCAATATTTATCTTTCCGTAAAAAGCAAATGTAGCATTGTTGTGATAAAATAATGATCTTATGGGATTTGTAATCGCTGTCCTTGCTACAGCAAGGACTTACTTAAAAATTATGTCTAATTGTTCTGCTGGCGAATTGTGCATAATTGTGTATTTACATAGTATACGTTTATTTTATTGAAAATTTAGCTTTGTTTTAATGTGTTTGTTCTAAGACAGGAGCATATACATAATATAATACATTGGAGCTTAGTTTAGGCAGCTTTTCAAACTTTTATTGATTGATGTCATGGTTTTGTACTTAAATTAGATATATTCGTTTTAATTTACAGGAATTACCAATACAGTTAAAACCGTTTACGACGACCTCGTTTAGAACAACATACCGGTTATATTGACCAAAATTAAAGATCCCGACTAAATTCTATGTATTAGGTACCCAATAACAACGTCATCGGCATCAGCCGACCCGAATCGATAGTCATATCAATGACTACTTTACGACCAAATATGAGTAGTCCCTTCGGTTTCGTTATAACAGATTTTGACTTTATTTTAAATATTGCTTATATGTTTCTAGTTTTCATTTATATCGTTTAATTAGTCTCTGATGGTACGAGTTAAAAGTATACAAAAATAATATGTTTTAAATGGTTTATTTTAGATGTCAGTGAAAGTAAGTGCAGTGACGGCGCCAGTATGGCTGGGCGAGGGTCCACACTGGTCTCACGACCACAAGGCTCTGTACTTTGTCAGCATCTTCGACCGTTCCGTATATAAATATGACCCCAGCACTGGCAAATGCACCAGCTCCAAACTATGTAAGTGTATATATGACAATTAATACTAATGACTAACAATTCACGTTATACTATCGTCTTTATTCTTTATTTTCCGCCTATATTTGGACTTTAAATTAAATTGTTTTTCCCTGCAAAACACCTGGTACAATGTATGGAGAAATAAAGTATAAAATGAAAAAAGCGGGAATGTAAACTAAAATGATCTGTCTACAACAACCTATTGGTTAGAAAGACTAAACTTTTTTAGTTTAAAAGAATATCTAGCAAGATATACAGGCAGTCCTCGACTTACGTCGTTTCGATTTACGTCGTACAATGTTTTGACACTATTCCTCAAGCATACGTCATTTGTTTCGATTTCCGGCATAGGAGAATTCACTTGACTTGTGCAAATTTGGAAAATGCCATGAAAATTTTTGAAGAAAATGATCCTAATTTTGAGAGATTTTCAACGTTAATAACAAAATTTGTGCAGCCTATCAGTGTTACCAAGATCTGTAGGATAGAAGAAAGACGCGAAGTAATCTAGAATTGATTTCTTTAAGCCAAAAGTTTAATTTATTGTTTCATATTTTTATTACATATTAAAATTTTATAATTATTATTAAAATTAATAACACACAAATATCAAAAATAACTAGCAATTTCATAAATGCATATATATAATTATTTTAAGAACTTACTTTTGATAATAAAGTATGTATATCCTTTGTTATAAATGTAGTTTTTTTTAATTTCGAGTCCGTGTGGATCCTAACCCTTCAGTTTTACATGTAAACATACGAAAAAATATGTCTCGACGTATGTATAAATACGTCGCGTATTTCGAGAACCTAACATGCCGTAAGTAGGAGGACTGCCTGTATTACAGGCCTATAGTTACTGCAAACGCCTACAAAATTAAATATTATATGTTAAAGAATTTTCTACTGTTACAGCTGACATGCCCGGTTTCATAATCCCCGTGGAAGGTACACGTGATGAATTTGTGGTGGGGCTAAAACGGGACGTGGTGGTGATACAGTGGGATGGTGAAGATGGTACTGCCCGAGTACTTAAGACAGTCGCAGAGATTGATCAACACTCGCCTGATAACAGGATTAATGACGCCAAAGCTGATCCTCGAGGAAGACTCTTTGTGGGTAGGAAAAAGTTTACAATTCGACTTGTACTTGTAGTTTCTCCAAATTTAATTGAAGCCCTAGTTAGTCTAGTTCTGCGTGTTGCATTATTTCCATTAACTCCAACTTATTGCTGGCATAATATCTTTTTACTTCTTTTGCACTTAAGTTAAAATTGATCATTTACTTGTCTAAATGTCTTGGCTAAGATAGATAAAACATTGTTTACGCGTCCTGAAATTAGAAAAACAAGCCAAAACTCAGCTGGGTTTAATTCGACAAATGTTTAATTCACACTATTGTATTAGTCTGCGATTTGAATTTAAAAATGGTAATAGTGGTTCGTCTTGTAAAAAATTACCAACACGGACTACAAAACCGAATTCGTTGCCATGGTTACAACAATGCTTGTGATAGAAGTACAGTTTAATAATAATGTATAGTTTAAGTTGCCAAGGAAGTCGTAATATCATCATTCTACTGAAATACGTATATAAGGTATTGCGTAATGAATGTATAATATGATACCTGCAGGTAGAAGACGTTGTAGCGCTTCAGAAAAATATGTTTATGTTTAGTAAAAGTCAACATAAATGCATTTGAGCATAGTCAGAACTAGGCATTACAAGAAGTCTTGACACCGAAAATGTGGCAGAGAGTAATTTTTTTGAATTTTCGAACATGTCAAATATCTCGAAAACCGAAAGACTTTTTGAACCATTATATCGTCTTCTACCCACAGCTACTATATCATTCACGCCACACCTATATAATACGTATTTTTATATAATATATATATATATATTTATACTATACGATACAAATAAATAAACAGATCCTAATGAAATCTTAAATCAGGAACAATGGGCCACGAATACGAGCCGGGAAAATTTCACCTAAAAAAAGGTTCCCTTTACCGCATCGACCATGATGGAAAGGTGAACCGTGTGGTGGACAATGTGGATATTTCCAACGGTCTCTGTTGGGATGAGAAGAATAGGGCGTTCTACTACGCGGACTCGTTTGAGTACGCGATCAGACGATACGACTGGGACCCTGAGACAGGCGATATCTGTAAGTATTCTTTTTCTTCAAAGTTTATAAAGTTCTTCTTCTTTAAAGTTTATATTAAATAAAGTTTATGTTAAATAAAGTAGTTTAAAACAAACGGACTTAAATATCTGTTAGCATTATATACCTATTATATGTATGTTGTATATCAATAACGACAGAACCGATTTTTATGAAACTTAGACTGTGTAATAGAGAAAGAATCTTTGATGGGTTTGCGATAGATATCAAGTGATGTAGATCATCATACTGTAATATTATCATTCATATAATCATGTATAGTCCAACAATACATAGCTGGTACACTCCTTTTTTTGAAGTCGGTTGAATCATCGAGATAAATCTTATATCTCTGTTCTGCTGTTAGAAGTAATTTATTTGGAGAACTCGAGTTACAAATACATGAATCACAATCATCAATATTAAAATTAACTAAGTTTTAAAACAATGTTCTTCATCATTATAACAGCGAACCCTCGGTTGGTCTTCAAGTACGCAGATCACAATCTGGGTGGTATCGTTGATGGGATGACCATCGACACCGATGGAAACCTCTGGGTGGCAAACTTCGACGGCACGCAGGTAACACATTTATCATAATTAAGTCAATTTCTGAGACAGAAAATTTATACAAGGATTTTTCAAAAAGAATCATGTACGCGGAGAAAAAAAAAATATAGCAATATATTATTTTTATTAAGTAAATTTTTGTATTGCTTGGTACTGAATTCGATTGGAACGTTTAATTTAATAACAAGAGCAGTGATAATCGGTGGGCTGAAAAGTTCGTAGACTGACACATAGATGGCGCTACTAGTATTAAATTTATATGATTTTTAGTTAGCACTAGCCTTCAAAAGACGGCTAGTTGACGGATACGGTATTTCTAGTGAAGGAAATGGATAAAAAGGAATTGGCTGTGTTAATAAATTAAAATATAAATGCATTGCTTTTTGGCGAAAAATAATTTTGGATGACCGAAACGTAAAGTTAATTAAGATAGCTGAGACCCTAAAGATATCAAAAGAACGTGTTGGACATATCCTATATGAATATTTGCAGTGGCGTAACTATACCATCTGGGGCCCGTGGCGAATTCTTTTGATGGGGCCCTATCAGTAAAAATCGTCACGTTGTACTCAGTTTGATTTTAATATCTAAACTTCGAGATTTTCAGCGTACTCAATTACACGTTGTATATGTCCCACTAATGGCCATAGGCCTCCTCTCTTGGGCGAGAGGGAATGGTCTGTAGTCACCACGCTAGCCCAATGCGTATTGGAGACTTCACATTCATCCATAGAACATAACTTATCTCTTGGGGCCCGTGGTATTTTGCCAGCCCTGCCACCCTATTGTTACGCCACTGAATATTTTGACATGCGAGAACTCTGTTCAAAATGGGTGCCGCGCGAGATCACAATCGATCAAAAACAACAACGAATTGATGATTCGGATCTGATTAGTGTTTGAAGCTGTTCAATCGTAATTCCAATTTTTGGAAAGATCCTGAGATTCCTGTTTTCGGACATCAAGAAAATGCTCGCTGGACAAGGCTAATAACAAATCGTACTATAAAAATGATATCGAAAAATTGCACGAACGCCATAATCGTTGTATCGCTATCGAATGCCTATTAGCCTACGATTTTTTCAGGCCGCCTGTTACTTCATAGTAAATATCAAGAAAAATTATCCTAACAAAAATAAGTCTGCTGATTTAACAAAAAACAGTGCGCTACAACCTATATGGCCAACCTAATATGGCCCTCATATCTGTTTCGTTATAATTATTTCGTGACTTTGGGGTCATAATATCAGAAATTGTGATAGATCATTTAACCTTTTACCACTTTTATAAGTAGGTACCCAACAGAAACTCGGTTCCATTTACAAGTTTAATATTTACTACAGGTACTAAAAATAGACCCAAAAGCCGGCAAGTTGCTCCAAAAAGTACCGACGCCAGCACTGCAGACCACTTCAGCGACGTTCGGAGGTCCGAACCTGGACATTCTTTACGTGACCACTGCTTCTATGAACCGGGGTACGGAACAGAAGCCACCTTGCGGGTCCACTTTTCAAGTCACGGGCCTCGGGGTTCGTGGACACCCCAATGTTAGTGTTAAGCTAGTATAATTTGAAGTATTTGTAAATATATGTTTCTGTTTTATTGTTATATTTGAGTTTTATTATATATGAAATTCGTTCTACTATTCTAAATGCGTGTAATTTTCACGAAGTACGCTATGGTCTTTTTATAGAACAGGGGGCAAATGGGCAGGAGGCTCATCTGATGTTAAGTGACCGCCGCCCATGGACACTCTCAATGTCAGAGGGCTCGCAAGTCCGCTGCCGGCTTTTTAAGAATTGGTACGCTCTTTTCTTGAGGGACCCTAAGTCGAATTGGTTCGGAAATACTTTAGTGGGCAGCTGGTTCCACATAGTGGTGGTGCGCGGCATAAACTGCCTTAAAAACGCTCAGTTGTGGAACGGCGATTTACGATTCAGAAATCTATGAATGATGAGACAGAATATTTGTGGCTGCATTTTGTCAAAATAATTGAATCATTTACTAATTTGATAAAAGTTTATTTGACAAAATAATAACCGTTAACAATAATTTTATGTTATTATTATAATTTGTGCAAACAAAAAAAAAACATTAATTATTTCAGTCTGAAGTTGTACCCCGGCAGACCTTTAACCCCCAAACCGGTCACCATAAAAGTGCACCCAGCTGCGGGGGGCTGTTGCTTGCCCTCCACATTAATATTCGCTGACGTCACAAACAATACGTCATAGTTCGGGCCTCCAAAAATGACAGACGTTACTTGCAATGCAGGAATTGGGACTTTTTGTAGCAAAGTTCCCGTTCGGGGATCGATTTTAATAACACACGACCCATTAAAGACTGCGATCCATAAGTTGCCGTCTGTGTCGATGGTGGTGCCATCCGGGGCGCCTTCAACGCCGGCCTTCTTAAAGTCGAATATGTATTTCAAGTTTGCTGAAAAAAAAGAGTGAATCATTTTGTAACATGACAACTGTTAGTGCCGAATTTGTTGCTATTCTATTTGAAAAGATGATATCGTAACCATGGAAACTAAAACCCACGTTTCTTGATGAGAAACAGATTAATTAATGTGTTATTAAAATTATGCAACTCACAAATATCGCCAGTATCAATATTATAATCATATTTCCGTATCTTATGCTCCAATGAATCTGTGTAGTACATAGCCTTTTCTTGAATGTCCCAAGCGAGCCCATTTGAAATCCCGATACCACTACACAATTTTTTGATGTTTCCATCGTTGTCAAGCCGGTAGAATGACCCTTGGCTTTCTGCAATGACGCCTGGAGGGTCATCCTGACCCATTGTACCTTTAAATAGTAACAATGTATGATTTCTATTCGTGTGCATGTATTGCAAAAAAGTAGAGAGTTTTATTTTTAACCAAGAAATCGGTTGCAGTAGACCAAACTACTTTTTTTTTAAACTGCAAACTGTTGTTTATTAATATATAAGTAAATTATAATAATATTTTACTAAAGAAAGGATTTAAGGTTCTTAGGCTTTTCCTCCAAAATTCCACTCGTACAATACCAAAGACAAAGTAAATGGGCTATGATGGTAACTATAAAACTATTCAATGAAAAGGGAGATGCGCTCAGTTAATGCTCCAGTATTAACTGAGCGCATCTCCATATTCGATGTTGGGGTTCCTGTTATGAACGTCCATGGATTCTAACTTATACCAAGTTCATTTACAACCAAGGTTACGCCAGATGATTTTTAAAATATAATATTTTTATAAAACGGTTTTTATCCTTTAGAATTTACTTAACTGTTTTATCAAAATTAGTGTTTTTATCCAAGGTTGACTCGAGTAGGTAGCCTATAAGCAATTGCACAATTTATTACGCAAAGTATCTATTATAATATTAAACAAATAATATTTGAATTGATAACAATAATCAGAATCTAATGTTTAAATTAATAATGTTCAATTACTGATACTTGTAATATTATGTACTTATGCTTTAAATTATACTTAATGATAAAAGCTAAGTTGTTGAGGATAGGCATATTATTATAATAATTATAGATATTTAAGATAGAATCCTAATTCGATTCTACCTTTTATAAAATTTGTCAAAATTGCAATCGTGCTAAACTAATTTATAAGTATTTAGCTGCAAAGAAACATTTACCAGCAAAGATCCGACCTCTGGGGTCAGCCTTTCCGTCATTGATCCTTGTAGCATCAACATCTTGATCAACAGATCCAAGGACCTTAACGTCTTTTGTAACATTGGCTTTTCCGTCCCATTCAATTATCTTAAATGTTTTTTCTACACCAACTATAAATTGGGTTTTACTTCCTTCCACCGGAACAACAAATCCAACTCTGCCACCATCTGGAAAATACCAATTAATACCCCCTTTTTTTCCTTCCCGGGCCAGGCCCCCGGGCGGGGGGGGTTTAAAAACGAAAAAAACTTTTACCGAAAGATAATCAACAAAATTGTTTATCCAACTCTGCCACCATCTGGAAAATACCAATGATTTTTTAATACCTAGTTTACTTTTAAAGTCTAGATGGAGCTTTTAATCGCCAACTGTTGTCGTACAAATTGGAGAAAGTTTGCGCCCGTTGTTTTGTGCCACAAAAATACTCGCACGTTATTTCCAGCCAAATTGAAGGTTCATCCTAATTTAAAAAAAAAAAGCCTAGGTACCTCTGGTTGGTTAAAAGCAGTCTAAAAATCACCACTGTATCTTTTTGCAGTTGAATAGCCCCATTTATTTGTATGAGATATATATATATGTAATCACATTCATCGCCTTCTATGTTCACCATAATGGGTGAAAAAAACTATACTTTTTATAGTTAGATATATTTTATATTAGATAATAAACAAAATTGTTTATTATCTCTCATTAAGGAGCCCCCTACTTACTTCCTTAGATGTTTATTTGATTATAAGAAATGTTAAACCTTTTACTATGAAGATTTCCGTGTCAGGTCTAACCGAACAATTTGTTTACTGTTTTATTATTTATGTTACCATTTTATTTTATGCAATAAACTAATTGCACTCAAACGCTATAAGAAATAAGAATAGTCTACCTATATTAGTATATAAGGTAGACTTACATAAATAATGAGCAAGGCACATAGTTTCTGTACGTTTTTATCGGTTTGTTCTATGGATGTATAAATGCTAAATATCGCGTTCTTACCAATTTTAGCTTTAGTCCACTCGCCGGTGGCCGGTATATATTTATGCAAGCAGCAGTCGAGAATGTCAACAAAGAACAATGCCTGTTGTGATTCGTCCCAATGCGGACCCTCTCCTAACACTAGAGGTTCAGAGATCTTCTTAACTTTGACCGACATTCTTACTATATGAACCAAAAACGAGCTGTAGTGATGGTCACAAAATTATAACCTACAATGTAATTTACCTTTACACGAACAGTTCCACACAGTAACCTTAATTAAATGCGAATGTCATCTGCACACTGAATTTATTTATACCGGCTTAAACAACGTTGTATTTAACTGACATCCAGACAACAGTAGATAAAAACTGATACCAAAGGTTAGTAACCAACTTATAAGTGGTTAGGTTAGTTTCAAGTGCATTGATACGTGCAAGGTCAAGCATCTTCGATTTGTTCTATCCACTTCAATTGCATGTACCTATAATCGTAATTACATAAAATTTTGCTATGCTAAGTATCGGTTATTATTATGCATGTAGATTATTACATAGCAAATAATATTTTCTTCAGATCAATGTTGTATTAAGGAATGTTTCTATAGGTATGTATTTAAAATATAAGTTGTAATAGGCCCGAGGTGGCGATATTTCCATATAGAGAGCGCATATATAACAGCATTTCTCTCCCATAAAAAAATAGAACTTAATATTCGTTATGGGTTAGTCTTGTTAAAAACTGTGATGCTTAAAAAACAAACCAAAACAAATTAATGGTCTTATAAGTTCAGTACACATAACTTTCAGTCAACGTTGACTAATATTGTTGTTAATCACGTTAATTAGTAAGTAAACACAATTAGGATAAAATAAAACGAGCAATAAAAAATCAGTATACTTTATTCAAGGGAATTTGGAAAAAATACGATAACAGAGGCGGAATAACTTGCAGCTTTGAGCTCTGTATAACCACATCGTATACTTATAGCACAACTACTCTATATTCACAACATAATTTTGTAACCACCGCGTCACTGTTTATTCGATATTGACAATCATTTTGTTCTTAATGGCAGTCGCCAACTAAGTAATTGGCACATCTACGACTATTTGACTTTCATACTTTCGGTAATCTTACACAAAAATTAACATTAATTAACACCTAACATAAATTCTAACTGCTAGTAATTTTAACACTAATACTGAGACATCGAAACTGACTTTATTCATTTAGACATTTATCACACTACACTTTTTTTTTATTTTTTTTATCTTTTTAACAACGCACTGTAAAACAAAATATCGGAATATTCTGAATATATTTATTATTGTGAATTCTTTGAAATCCGAATGAAAACTTATTGGGCGGAGTTTTTGCAGACAACCTCACATCTATATTAAAGACTAATTACAACACTTACACATTGAGATTACAATAAGACCTTACATACGTTGTGAATTAGTAGATACGTTTAATCAGTTAAAAATATTGTCAAAAAAACTATCATCTGTACGAACGATTTACTAATTCACAGTTAAATTTATACTTAACAATTAACTCTAAATAGACACATAGCTATGGTTTGTTAACGAGTAACAATCATTTTATTTGAATCGATATTTCAAAATAAACCGTCTTGTTTTGCTGACCTTGCACAAAAAAATATTATTTAAACAAAAATTATCTTCATAATAAAATAGACATAAAAATGTCTGTCACACGTAACCAAAAATTTTGTGAGTTTATTTTGAGAGATCGATAATGTTAAAAGAGTATGTTGTTTGAAAATAGCAGCCAAAATATTGAAACTTACGCCTTCACCATCGGTTTACTTCCAAATCACAGCCAAATCTTTTAAAACCTTCCAAAAATACCTTTTTATAAATTCACGGCGCTTTTTCTCATATTTTGGCAACGAATGACTGTACATCCACTTTTGCTTGACGTTACAATGTTAAGAATGTAGGAATAAATGCAGTTATATAAATGCTAAGACTAGGTATGTCATTAGGAAACTTATGTTTTTGTCAGGGGTCATAAAATAGTTAATCGTCAATATAATCATGAAATTTGAGCTTTCATCCAAGTCTATCACCTCGGGTTGTCTTCTTTATATTTAAATTTGAAGCATCCTATAATACTTTGACCCCAAAAGTTTCACTTATCATCTACCCAAGCACCAAATCGTAAACCACGCTTCCTGAGATCAAAAGGGAGATTCAAATAAAATTATCTTTACCGCTGTATGACGAATTGGGGCTGTCTAAAAATACTGTAGGTGTACTTCTTTGATTATTCATGTCTCGGAGATAGCATAAATAAAAAGTTAGTTGAAACGTGAAAACATTGGGTAAAGTATTTACACAAACACAATATAATAAAAAGAAAGTGGAAGACGAAAAGTACAACATGAGGTAGAAAAAAAAACAAGCTTTTGTCACAAATCGCGCGTCAATAGACAGCATTTTTATCACGAAACATTAAAGAAATGAATTTTTTTAGACAGCCCTGAAATATAAGTTTCGTTTAATCTATAACTCGGTTTAGGAACATATACGAACCAATAAAATTGCGAAAATAAATTTGAATTTACACAAAACCACCAACTCCAGTCGCAATCTCACACAGTTCGCATTTTGTCGAGTGTGTATTCATATCGACCTTATAAAGCCTACTGTCTTACCGTATAAAGGAATGGATAAGACCTATCTAGGATGTATAATTTAGATTTTTTACAAAAATATCTCGAAACCCTGTCAACCCTGAATTTCGAAGCACCACTTGACATCAGGGATCTTAATATAAAAATACATATGTAAGACCTGTAACTAACGGATAAAAATATATGAAAATAATACAAAGATAAATATTATAAGCCATTTCAACATATTAAGTACTTGTGCGGTAACGATTACTTATATGTAATCCCATACGACTGCCGATGGATGGATGGAGTCGACTCCGGTTGGATTTGTTTAACCGCCTGGAGGCAATTTTCATTTTCGACGAACACAAAATATTGTAATAAAAAAATTTATTTTTTACTTTTGAATTTTGATAAATAATCAATCTAAATTGCGTTAGTTTCCCTCGTCAAATAATTATTACTTTTATATTTGATATATTTATCGGTTTTACAGTGGGTTTCTGTACCGTATAAAAAGAATATCTACGTAAACGTACTCCGTTATTAAGAGGGTCCTCTCCAGGTGGTTTCACAAAAACCCTATCATGTATTAATAATACAATTATTGACCGAACGATATCTTTTAAGTTCTATCATTTTTGTTGGGAAAGTTTGCTTCTTACCTAAATAAATGCTGGAACATTTTAATTCCCATTGTTACGGACGCACCGATTTATTAAATTTAAGAGAATTTTTATTAATTTATGCCCGAATAATTTTTTTTTACAAAATGCAAACACGACAAATCTTCGATGGACAATCGTTGTAGACCGGGAAATAAATTTATAAGAATTTTTTAATAAAATTAGATCCAAAAGTGAGTATAAGAATTTGAAATTTTGTTTAATTCTAAGGAGTTGTATATAAAATAATTATAAAATTTATAGCCAAGGGTCCGATATGTACGTGGCAGTTAAATGGAAACAAATAAAAGCATATCTCAATGGAAATGATATTTTGATTTTTTAAGCTCGCTTGACCGTTTTTTCTGTGTCTTTGGTAGGTTTTATTATTTCGCCGGGAATCGAACAGGACAGATTATACACAGCGTAATCCACAAAGACGGAATGTGAATAACCATAAATAACGGACGTTTTACAAATTTGGACAAAAAATTTCTGATATGCTTTTCATTGTTTACCTATAGTTTTATTTAGTACAAGTAGCCCCGACAATCGGACTAGTCTTGTAATTGAGCATTTTGTAGGATATCACACAATTGTGACATTTTGGATTTTGATAAAAATGGTCTTGTATTGTCAAATTCAGTCGCTTCCGTAGCTACAGACAGAACAGTAACTCAATTAAACGCCAAAAGTTAATGCTAAATATTAAAAGTACACATCGAAAGGAAGATCACCCAAATATACAAATGCCAACAATCATCAGTGGTGCTTTGTAGGCTCGGCTGTAGCTAAAGTTTATATGTATTTATTTAAAATTAAAAATAGTAAGTGTCATACAAGGAGGAATATTTAAATCACAAACTAATTGCAATTGGATTTGTTCAAAAATGGCAGCTCTTTTGAGTAAAATTTGCTATTTTCAGTATTGAGGGTACTTCCCTCACAAATATATAGGCTAGGCTATTGTATACCTGGGCAGCCGTGTCAATAAACAGGAATTCTTCTACAAAGGTCATTTCTGTAACAACTTAGCCTGCTAAAATTGATACATTACTACACAATATCCAATATTACCTTTTTTAGACATTTAAGACATCAAACATCAAAATACGATTAATATATCTCTAATAATATTCCACAGAGCAATATCGCTTTACCGGTCGTAATAGGGCGTTAATAATGGAGTTACTGTCTGCTTTATACTGTGGCGTCTACTTGTGTTCGTGCACGGGTGGGGGTGCGGCGGGATGCATCTGGGGGTAGGGCGTCGGAGCCCCGTACATGGGCTGGACGCTGAACTCCATGCCCTCCTCGTACACGTAGCCCATGCCACCCATGCCGCCCATCATGCCCATCATGCCTGAAAATGTATAACATTATATTTCCATTCGATGATTTAAAAAACATATTTAAATAAAGATGAATGTCTCACTGGGATCATCAATATGGTAGTAGGGCACGGGGTAAATCGGCGGTGGGTATGGGGCGTAGGGGAAAGCGAGCAGAGGGGCCTCGGCCCCACCAACTTCTTCGCCGACGAAACCCCCGCGGGCTTCCACGTATGAGTTGCGGCTGGAAATAACGCCATGTATACAAAAATATAAAGACTAAATCAGTGTAATTTCACTCTTAACTTTAGTACTCTTTTGTCTCTCTGTGACAAATTGTATTTTTTTGTGTTTGTGATGAACGAATTAGTAAGTAAAAACTGATTTAATTTTATTAATAAAGATGATACATAATCATGTCAAGTCATTAAATTTAAGGTCAAACTTATAGATTAAACAACGAAATTAATGAAGTTTGGTTCCCTTGGTCCACACGTTTCTTTCCATATAACGATAAATCTCAATAGATTCGGAAAATGCGTAGTCCCTACAGTTTATATTTGATTATTTTCGTTTGGTGGGTTGCCAGACGGTTCAAAAACTTAAAAAACCAAAAACTCAAACAAACACACGATAAAAAAGACGTAATACGATTTTCAAAGAAAAAGCCAAGCCAAGCAAAGTATTTCCAAGACAATAAATTCAAACTAAGGTACAACCTACAAAACTTACATCTCAATGCTACGAGATTTATGATTCCTGGTCTTAGGGAGCGTTCAAGTATTACGTAACGAATTTGCGGGGGGTCCTTTTCTAAAACGTTACGACGCGGGGCGGGGATTGAATTACACATCCATCCAGTACTTTACACTACATAATAGTTACTTTTAGGTATAAAGAGTCACTGGATGGTTACGAAACGTTTTACTATTGGGTACAGAAAAACGTTACGGCGCGTTACATTGACCCCCCGTCAATAAACTCCAAAAATTGCGTGACGTAATACTTAAAAGCTCCCTTACTCCCTCACTTTTAGATCTTATTTTTGTTTCTTCTCCTCACTATATCACAAAGCATGGGCTTCTTCGGCAACTTCCTGCCGTCGCCTTCTCACACCGCAATCTCTCTATATCTCCTTTAAAGCAAAGCCACCCAAACAGAAGCCCACTGTAGAAATGCGTCGCAGCTTTGGTGGAATAGACCATCAAAGCCTGCCCGGTGATGCTTCGGAAATTGACTGGTTTGAACGACGTAGCTTTCCTTGACGACCAATTTGAGTTGTTCTTCTTCAATCACGACCTCTTTGATAAGCACCTCCCAGTTGTGATGTTTAAAACCCAAACATTTACCTGCTCCCTGGCTCTCTGATGAGATCATTACTACTCCAATGGCGACACCTCCAAATCTGGAAGTTCCTTAAAACTTTGGGAGTTGGCAGATCGGCACAGAATGTTATTTCTTTAGCAATTGATATAAACAACCTTAACTCTCTCTTCATCTCTTCTACTGCATAAGTTTTCTCTTAGACTCTCAATAATCTGGCATCTCTTTCCATCTCCGAATTTCATATCTTTTAATTTCACTGAATTCTATGACCGCGAAGTGTAGAGTTGCATTCTATCCATCTCGGCTGTGACCTAGTTGGTCGTGCTATGATCTTACCTATCTAGTCAGCCGTTCTTCAAGTTATTACTCATATCTTCAATTATTCAGTTACTACTGGAAATGTCCTACTTCTCGAATGGGTTAACGAGTTATTCCTATTCCCAAAGCCATTAACTTTTTGACTTCCGGCCCATATCCGCCAGGAGAAGGTAAGCAACTCACTGCTCTCACTCTGCTTGACTTCAGCAATGATTTCAATACTGTGGACTTTGATTCTTTTTTTTTATATAGATTTCTCCAATCGGCTATTGACTGTTTGATATCTATTTTATTTCTAATCGCCAGGATTAATAATGATACCCACTCTCGGTGAATAATATATAATTGCTGGTCCCCCGCGGACCAACCCCCCGTTTGGACTTCTTTTCCTATGATTTTATTGCTTTGTAACTTTTTTTATATAGATTTAATTATTTTTTTATATTTATTTTATTTTAGATTAAGTTTGGTCTTTTTATGATTTTTTTTTTTTGTCGATTTGGTTATAAACTTTTTGCACCCTGAATATTTTTTTTTTCTTACTTGGGTTTCCTGGAAGAGATCGCTTCTTAGCGATAAGGACAAGAGTTGCATCCCTAATAATTTATGTTATTTGTTTTTCTTTTAATAAAATAAACAATAACATAATATCAGACACATTTTGACCATAGAAAACTATTATTGCTAATTTTGAAATAAATAATTTAAAACATTACCGGTTGTTTGGTCCCTTGTTATTCATGTGTCCCTGGTTATTGTGTCCCTTGTTTTGGTTGTGGCTTTGGTTATTATCTTGGTTGTTACCACGTTTGAATCTATAATTTGTTTTTATTTAATTTAATTTTTCTATTTTTTATTAATTATTTAACAGATTACTCAATGCGGCAACTATAACATTTACATTGCATACAAAATAATACGTACACAGAAAAAAACAACACTAAATCAAACAGTAATAAAGTAAAATATTAACAAAAAACTAACTATTTCTTACAGTATAGGAACTGACGTGAAGCAGACCTTTTGTCAATTCACTCATCGGACAATTAAAAACGTCTGATAATTTATGAAGTTCATGAATTATTTCCATACAGGTAGTGAGTGCCCTTTTCGAGATGTTAGTTTTCGCTTAGGGTACGAAAATGCAAACCAGTGTCTCTGTGCACCAATGAAATTCTTTCTATGTGTACAATTAGCACTTGCTCCTACGGTGAAGCCGAACATCGTTAGAAAATGTCTCAAACTTTGGCAATTGATGGCATGTGTCAAACAGGCTGATCACCTACTTGTCTATGAAATAAAAAATGATCAAAGAAACGGATGCAATCTGAAGCCAACACCCATTTAGGGTTGTAGCGCGACTGGATTATAATTAATAATATATTACTCAAAAAGTTAACTATATTATTTGCATGTTTGAAATTAAAGTTATCTGTATGCAAAATGAAAATGTATACCTTGGTCCCAAGAGGGGTCTCTGAGCATTATTTCCCTTGCCCTGAATGTTGGTGTTCTTGTCTTGCTTGTGCTTGTTGTGATTGGGGTCACCGTGGAGAGGACGGTCTTGCACTGCCAACTGTTGCATGTCCTGGAAAATCATTTATTTATATTAAATTTTACTACCTGTTATTTCTGAATATAATGACGATGAACCTAGCCGTCTTTAACTATTTTGCTGTAATTGTTTGTGAATCAGTCTTAAAGGTTGCTTTAGTTTCTATAGTGATTAGTTTGTCAAAAAGTTGTTTTCCTAAATTTTGAACTCTTTTATATTTTCCACATATTCTTAGTATCAGTGGTCTGTTAAGTAATTTAAGGTCGTATTGACTCTGTAGGGACACGTACAATCAGTACGATGACGTCATACCCTAAATCGCGCTAACGAAGTGTTTCCGACCAATGAGTATATTTACTTCTCGACATCAGCCATTTAGGGCCTTCGGGCCGGCCAAGCAGTGGTTCAACGACGGTCCTTTTTATTATTTAATTTAATGAACATTATGCAAAGCACCGAAGCGCAACTGCTTGACTTCACTATCTGTGCATACCCTTAAGAACGAACACTGACCTTTAAGGACGCGGTAACAGCGTTATCTTGTACCTGAATCTGTTTAAATATACATTCAATATTTTAACTTTATATTTAATTTGACTTTTTTTTCTGATTTTTCTGTAGTGCCGATCTGTTTGTTTGCTAATAAATAAACAATACGCATTCCTTCCTCCACATCTCCAACAAATATTAGGTCCTTACATATGAAATTGGCGTTTTGTATGGAAGGAACAAAAAGTCGAATATTTTTAAATATAATATATTTAATTAATGAAAGTATGAACCATTGTTTTCTATGCACTTTTTCCATCTCATAGGTAGTTCATTGATCCCTTTACTAAAAAAACCAGTCGGACGGGAATCAATAAAATCTGTGAAGGCGATTTGGACTGCCCCATCAGAGTTCAATTTTTTCCCTTGCAAGAAGTTGTCCAAATTTCGAAAAAAATGGTAATCTGTTGGAGCAAGGTCCGGAGGATGTCTTAGACATTCCAATTGAAGCTCTTCTAATTTGGTAGCCGTCTGTTGTGCAGTGTGTGGTCTAGCGTTGTCGTGAAGTAGCAGTGGCGTGGAGCGATTAACCAGCCTAGGTAGTTTAGCCGCTAGCTTTTCCATCATGGTTTGCAATTGCTGACAATAGACATCAGCCGTAATAGTCAGGCCAGATTTGAGAAAACTGCAATGAACAATACCGGCACTAGTCCACCAAACGCTTACAAGTAACTTTTTTGGGGTTCATTTTCGCTTGGGCAGGATTTGGCTGGCTGGCCAGGATCCAACCATTGCGCTGAGCGCTTCCGATTATCGTAAAGAATCCATTTTTCATCACAGGTAATGATTCGGTTTAAAATACCTTCATTATTGTGCCGGTTCAGTAATGCAGCAGTCGACGCGCGTTTGCCGGTTGCTTCAGTTAATTCGTGAGGTACCCATCTTTCAAGCTTTTTAATCTTTCCAATTTGCTTCAAGTGAATTAAAACAGTTTTATCACTAACACCGCAGCCTGCAGCTAACTCGGACGTGGTTTGCGATGGATCCGCTTCCACAATAGCCTTCAATACTTCATTATCAACTTGGGTCTCAGACCATCCACGGGGCTTGTTCTGCAGGTCGAAATTTCCAGAACGAAAACGTTGGAACCAAAAATGAACTGTGTTTTCTTTTGCAACATGACCGCCATACACATCATTCACCCTTAGAGTCGTTTCCGCAGCACTAGTGCCACGGCGGAACTCGTACTCGTAAATAATGCGATACTTTAAGTTTTCCATTTTGTAAAATGAGTGACGCAAACAGAAAAAAAAGAAGAAAAAAACAAATGAATGACGGTCATCGAAGCACAAATACATGAGTAAATGGGCGTGTTTGGCCGAAGTAAGTACTTACTAAATTTAGTAAGTCACTTACTATGCTTACAAAATTTTCGGCCGGGACACAAAATAAGTGCTAACGCAGTAAGTATGGCTTAATATACGACGCCATTTTGTTTATTGTTGATGTAAACAAAACGGACAGGAACAGACCTGTCATTGTTCAGATATGTACGGGATATGACATAAACCGGTGTTTTGTGTTATGTTAATAAGCCAGTAAGTCTGTCCTGGCCGAAAAGCGCTACAGTCAGCTTGTAAGACTTTAATTTTTTTATGCTTACTGGCTTACTAAGTTTAGTAAGTACTTACTTCGGCCAAACACGCCCAATAGCTGTACAAATTTGAATTTGGAATTCCTTACCAAAGAGAAGAACATCGTGATTAATGTGGCCAGTACGAAATACGCCAATTTCATATGTAAGGACCTAATATTCGCTTGAAACCATAATTTAGTAGGACGCTCTTACCTGAGCAAGAGTAGAAGGCGAGTAGTGCCTCGGCGGCGGATGCATGGGGTGCGGAGGATGCGGGGGCGGCGGCAAGGGAGGCCCGTAAGCTGCCCACATGCACTCCACGCCCAGGTTGAAGAAGTACCGCAGTGTTGCTATGTCTGCGGAAATACGAAGGGCTGCTGTATGTGCGCACGATATTATTTGGGTTAATTTTATGGGGAGATCAGAGTAGTCTGTAACTCTTTAAAAAAAATACGTGTGGCACTCGGGGACTGCCGCGGTAAAGCTATTGCATAGCATTTTTTATAAACTTATGCAATATAATTATTTATTTATTTTTTGCAGAATTTTTTTTTCTTTGATATTAATTCAAGTTTTTTATTTGATATTAATTCAATCTACCCACTCTACCAGACTCATACTAACACGCCTATCCGATCACGCTTAACCGATGTGACGTCTGTCCCGCTCTAACGCGTATTGGCCGCACCTATATTACGTCATCGTGTGTTAGGTTTATTTCGTTACGGAATTTCTTGATTCGGTCGCCGCGCTCAAAGATAAAATCTATGCAATAGCTTAAAAACATTTTTATTATTGATTTTGAAGAATATTCACAAGAACGTATAAGTATAAAGCAGACACCAATCTGAGCATTAAATTCTGCAAATTAACCACCTCATAATACCACTTACCATTCATGGGCAGATCAGAACCATTGGCTTGCACGCTCTTAAAGACATGGGGGTTCACACCGGGTGGCAACGGCGGAGGCGGGTGGGGCACGTTCATCCCCATGCCTCCCATCGGCATTCCGGGAGCCAACGGTTGGGGGGGAGAATGGGGCGAGCACCAGACGACAGACTTCATACCGCACATATATTGTCCACAGTTGTACGGCACGTTTCCTGGCATCGTAGTCCCCAATGGTGGGACTGAACCCGGGTTCACACCTATCGACAGCTTACTGCTTAGAAATTTATACATAGAACAGCACTGCATATTGATTATTATCACACTGATATATACTACTGCATAATATAACAAATACTTATAATACTTAAGTAATGATATATCCATTACTTAATCACTACATTAGGTTTATAATTATCATTTGTTATATTCATAATTGCTAAGAAAGAATTATTTATAAAAAATAATCACAAACAATATTTATTTTTTCTCACTTGCCATTTAGGTTGAGTATGGAAATGTCAGGAATGTCAAAATAACATTTTGGTTCAGAAGTCACCGTACATTGCTTTGTTGAACTAATATATTATTATCAATGTAACGAAAATGGTATGTATTTGTATTCTTAATTCAATTTTTGATCACATCAGTTGCATATTTACCAGAATAAGTGGTTAGTGAGTTAGTGGTTGCAGGCGTGGAAGCGCGCACAGACACAGGCGTTGGCGTCGCCTGGTTTCCCATATCACCTGCGCCTCCCACCTGGAAATGAACATAGTGCTATATTAATAATGTTGGAGAAAATTAATTATATCTACACACAAAACCAAATTGTTGCTTTTTTTTGAGACGCTTTGGGGCTATGATTTTAAGACACACAGATCTATAGAATCTATAGAATAGTCATAGAAGAAACAATAAACATTAAGTTAGTAGAAAGCATGATTTCCTTAAATACTAAACAACAACTTGTCAATCAATATGATGTTAATTGGCTGTAAGATGAGGGGCTAATTTATATCCAGATGGGCATTTTCTTGCATTAATATATATTTATTATATAGAAGGGTTATATTATACAATAATGTAGTTTTTAGAATCTATGAAATGTCTGAGCCAGTTTGTAAAGTTATCAATAAAAATCTATATTATACCTAATATTACATATTCGACTAATTAATATTTGCGACGCCAACAACCAAAAACAGAATACATAATTACTAACCTGATTGTGGATGTCTGGTGAAGAACCATTGGCCTCCTGTGGCGGAGCACCCGCCGCCCGAATGTCCACCATTAGGGGAACCGTTTCAATTTCAACCTAAACATATATTTAACAATGATTATGTGTAATCACAATCGCCATTATTCTACATTATAAAACTTTAAAGCATAATCCACAAGCTGCAACCTAAATCGACTAGGAGCCGTATACTACTTACAATAAAATACCTACTTTATTTTAATTTATATATACTAAAAAAACTAATAAATACTTACTGTAAGGTATATATAGATTGTAAATCTTACAATAAGATCATATATTAAGTGTATGTTTTACTACTTACTGTCTATAAGTTAATCTAGTAAGGCTACTAATTATAACATATAAATCCGTAACTATTTTAAGGAATACTGTCTTTACAATACCTTGCACTCTTGGTAAATGTCAGTATTACACTAGCTAATGCCTAAACAAACTGCTACGATATGGTTTCAAGCTCAATAAGCATTCCACTTGTTGCTTAAGAATTTTAAAACTATATTAAAATTTTTAAAGAATCTCTAATTTTCTTCTCAATTAAAAATAAAGTATAAGATGATAGAAAAAAGTTTATTGCATTGAAAACTTAAAAAAACATCTGTAAGGCAATACAAACAAGTGTGATGCTTACACTATACTACTTCCTAACTACGCACTAACTGGCATCGGTTGGAAGTTACAGATATCCGAATGTTGATAAGGTGGATAATTGTAGGCTTCAAATGTCATATCAGCTTTTTCTTCAGTCCAATCTAACTTTGTTTCTTTTTCAGCTATTCTTGTATCATCATTCCTCGATTTCTTGCTTGATTTTATACCTTGTTTTCGTATGACAGAGCCTATTCAATTATAGCAATTACTCATGGACATTTTTAATAAATTCAAGATTTTTAAGATATCACAATTGATAAAGAGTAAAGATTTTTATTAATGCAAACCAGTTTTAAGAAATTTTAGATTTTGAAAAATTGAAGCCACACACCTATTTGCTGTAGCATTTGACTGAGATTGAGAAGCTGCGAGTTTGCTCGAGAATATCTATATGGAGGTGCCCAAGGCTTAATCTCATCCATTGGAAGCGGTTCCAACTGTTCATAATTCACCAATCTCTTTTCTCCTAACTCTTCAATAAATACAAGACATGGACCTCCATCTTGCCCCATTTCTTGTATGTGACAATGATAGGGAACATCCTGGTCTACTTCCAATTTACACAAGCATTTAACACCTACTTGCAATGTCGTCCCATCTGAATATCTAGCACCAAAACGCAACTCTGTAAACACATTTCATCTAAGTATAGAATATATTTAACATTATTCCACTAAGTGAAACTTTTAGTACCTCTTCTTAGTTCACTCCACACATCAAACTCAATGTTTCGATATATATCTGGGTCCAAAGCTTTAGCTACTTTATATGGAAATGGTGTTATACCATTATCTAGGAGCACTTTAGCACTGTTGACATTTAAACAGTTTAAACAAACATTCTCAAGCTGTATAAGGCTTCTATTGAACACAAAAATGCTCAGAGACTCTTTTAATAGTGAAGCTTTCTCAATATCATTAGTGTGATGTTTGCATTTTAGAGATAACGCATTACTATTGTTATCTTTGGCATTTGTTTCTTCAATAAAAATTTTTGCTCTTTCTTTTTGTTTTTTGTGTTCCATATCTGGCATCATGTATTCAATGTGATTATTTGTAACTTTCTCATGAAGCATTTTATCAACAGCATAGTAAAGGTCCTCCAAGTGGTAGACTCGATCATACAGGAGCTCATATATTAATGCTATGTGAAAAAATTTATAATCATTGAGAAAATATACATAAAACAATTTAAATAGATTAATCTTACCAGACATCAATAGCGCTGTATGCAATAAAGGATACAAAAATATTTTAGTGTATTATTGTCAATTGTAAGAATAAATAAAAAATCTCAACATATTATATTAGAAATGGAACTTACATTGGCAGAATGCAGAATTATTAATAAATTCTTTTCTATAAAGAGCATCAAAATGCTTAGTGTCAGGAGAATAAAAAAGGTATATGGTTTTGCCATAGCCATTACAGATGTTAGTTTGCGGGCCTTTATTTGCTTCAAGAATGGTAAAATCTCGTCTGTAACATGTACAGTGATGTTAAATGTTAAGTTATTATTATTAAATAACTATGAGAGCTATACAATTTTCTTACCTATACAGATGGCTCATAGCAGATAACTCAACAATACCACCCCATGCAGATGCATTGGACATTTCTTTAAGGTAATTCTCAAAAGAACAACTTAATGACTACAACATAAAAAATATGTAAGAACGAAGTAATAGAAAATGTAATAAACGTAAATAAAAATAAAGGTAAGTACCCCTTCAAACAAGTGCCGATTAGAGGACATAAACTCGATACATTGTAGCCTAACTTTTTGATAATAATGTTGGGTGTTAAAAATGTTTTCAGAAACTGCCCTAAATAGACAACTAGAGTCTCTAGCTGTGTGTTTTCGATAGAAATCCATTTCGTCAAGCCAACGGTCAGGCTCAGACGAGCGTTTTTGAATTTTCCAAGGGCCGCGACATCGAATCGGAGAGGGCGACATTGGTTTACAATGCTAATTATCTGCAGGTAAACAAACAAATGACGACGATAATAACACATGAAACTTATCGTCATAGCACATAACCGTAATCACATACCTATCGATTTTTTAAAAGAATAAAAACATATCATCGTATTTTAAAACCATATCGTAGCGTTGCCTTATGTGTAGTTAAATGCAAATCGTTGTTTTGATGTCTAAATAATACGTGCGTAAGAAAGACATAACAAAATGTTTTAATAATGAATAACACTTACCGAATAGATAAATTTCGACAATAAGCATCAGTGCTTGACTGAAGTAGGTATCGAAAATGTTCTATTTTGCGTTGCGTGAAAAAATTGCACGTGCCATTTGCCAAAAGCAACCGTCAATGGTCGGCGGGAATAAAAATCAAAACATCATAGAGTTCTCTAAATCTTCTCTATGGTCCTTGGTCGAGAAATTTTTCAAATTTCTGCAGTGATCTATAATGTTGCCATTTACTTCGCAAATTTTTATTTCTTATGGATAATACTTAAGTTTAAACAATATCATATTTTAGTTTAATCGATATATTTTTATGGTTGGTGAAAAAAATATTTTTTTGCCTCATAACTAAATTCATAACAGATTTTAGTCACAATATGATATAAGAATACTAATGCATATAGGTGTATATTTATGCAACGAAATCCAATTCTGAAACAAACTTTACTATAAATTTCATTTTTCAGTAACATATCTTATATTTTTTAGGGACATAAAACAACAAACACTTTTTTAAAACCTATATTTATAAAAAGCACCGTCTGTAAAACATACAAAATTTCGATTGATTTATTTATTAGCATCATAGCATTATATAAAATTGAAAAATTGTTGATTATCATTACTATAAATATTTTTCATCACAAAAAATATAAACATTAAAAAATTACTATTATTACATGTTGAGCATCAAATATTTGTTATTACTGAATAAAAAAACAATAGAACCATTTTGAATGAGGTCTATTGATGTACAATTTTTTTGAAAGAATCAGTACACATTAAACCTCTCCACAAAATTGGTTTTGGCGACTACACTCCTAATTATTGTTATTATTAGAGCCAAATAACCTTTTTGATATATTAGTGAATAAACTACTAGAAGTTATTTATAAAATAGTAAGTGTAGTGGTCATGCTTAATCAAAATCAGTACAGGATCTTAACAATGTCTTGATATAAATTAAACCAAATGCTCATAAAATACACTTATTTTATATCGTTAAAAGTGACGTAGAAAATTTCGGTTCCTATAATCTAATGGAAAACCAGTTCGAGTTTCATGGAAAAATCTATGATAGTTTTAGAATACGCAAAATATCTGTGGATTTATTTTTTAAAAGACTGAAATATTCACAATTTTAGCGGGTCTCGAATACTGGTTCCGTTATTTTTAACTTATCGTTACTAAAAATACGGCGATACTAGCGAGATATAGTTGCAATAAATACGATGGAGGATAGTTCAAGCTGTCTTCTCCTGTTCGATAGTGTCTTTAGTGGGGAGAGGATTCTTCTCACAGGTTTCAGTGTGTTTCAACTTGGTTGGGTCGAAGTTTTCAATGCCATTCAAAAACTTATTTTTCTCCTTTTCGGCCTCAATTGCTGTAAAAATTTAAAAATAATATTTACAACTTATTATAAAGTTTATTTTCCGTAAGAGTCGATGATACAATTATTGAAATATATTATTGTTTGTAGAGAGTAACCCACTGTATTGTATGCGACATATCGTACGAATGTACGCTTTATAATGTACATTGCAAATGCAAGAATATAATATAGTAAGGTATAAAAAGGAGCTGACACACAAACATATATTTATATACTAGGTACAAATAAGAAAACCAAATTAGGCATGCGCAAAATAAAAATAAAGCTCATGGAATTAAACCTTCAATTGGAGGCAGGAGATTCTTTTCTTCTGTCGTGGTATGCTTCATCTGAGATTTGTCGAAATGTTCCACCCCATCAAGTAAATTCTGATGCGCTTTCTCGGCAGCTACAACTGTTTATAAAGCAACGTGCAATGCAGTGTAAGCACAGGCAAAAATATTTATAAATTTTAAATTAAAATTATGTGCAGATGCATTTTATGTGCGCAATGCAAACTGAAGCAGAAAACTTAAATAATTAACTAATGATAACGAAATTGTAAGATGCAATAGTTTATTATCTTAAAAATGCTTAATAATTAAAGCATATTTATAAATAAGAGAGTTTGGCTGTTTTAATTGATTGATATGTTTGTATTTAAAAGTTACAACAATACAGTTTTTTTAGAACTTATAAATGAATAAAATCGTACCATCTTTATCAGGCAGTGGGTTTTTCTCGTTTGTTTCAGTATGTTTCAGCCTGGTAGCGTCGAATTTTTCAATGCCATCAAATAGGGACTTTTGAGTTTTTTCAGTGGCAACATCTGCAAAGCATCAAAACTCATTCAAAGACTCAGTAAAAAAATGGGCTTTTTAATAATTTTCGGGAGTCGGTCGCGTTTACAAATTCCATAAATTGCCTGTGCAAACTGCTATCGATCCTATAAAAATAAGTAATATAATGTGTTGCTATTTTTTTAATTATTATACGTGACATTCAGATTTCAAAAGCCAGTTATTGGAAAATATTAAATAACGAACATTCAACATTCAAACTCATGCGAATAAAAACATTGAATGTGCTTGCATACATTTAAAATAATATATAAAGGATAAACTTTGGTTTTTAAAACTTTTTGTTATTAGGTACAAAACTCTTGTGACACTAAAATTAAGTCCTGCAATCATAAAAGCGTGTTCAAATGAAAATAGCTCCCTTATTACAAGGCGTAATAGTCCTACAATACATTGCATTTCTTTTATGGGCCCGAATTTGTAATATTAGCAGCTATTTTCCACAGACAGTTATTTTGGATTAATGGATTGTTATTTTGAGTGCAGGTATTCACGCGCTGAGTACCTAACGCGTTGGGGAGTACATTTTTCTCAACCGTTTCAGTTTTCCTCAGTAAGATCGGCTGAAATTGTTCAACTCCCTGAAGTAGAGCTGTATGTTGCTTTTCCTTTGCGACGTCTGTTTAAAAATGTACTTGTCCTATATTTCTCCTACATACCAATTCTTTGTTGAATGAATAAATCACTTTGATCATAGTGTATGACATTGTTTTGATTATACTCTTCTAGTAATCTCAAAATTGTAAAAATATATAGGTACTTTATAAGTGACAATAACTTTTACCTTAAAATAAATACATAGTACGTAAAATTTTCACACCAAAGTAATTAGATATAATATAGAATTGATTTCCAAATCCATTTAAATCAAGATAAAAAACATTTAATTCAAATAAGGATAAGAAGTGTCTTGTCATAGATATATCTGTTATAATTTTTTGATTAAAAAGTTTTGTTATTTGCGATTGCTTTTGTCATAATTTTTAACTGCACCTTCTGCAGATGGTAGGACAATTTTCTCATTGGTGTCCACGTCCTTGAGGCAGCTGGGGTTGAAAGCCTCTAGCTGGCTCTTGAGGTCTGTCGCGACCTTGGGGAGGTCCTTCAGGGATGGGGCGTCGACTGAGCAGGCCATTTTATTGAGATCTGTGAACCAATACAACGTATTGTTAGTTTGGAATGTGTGTACAAAATACCTATATTGATAATTTATCTAATGCTTCCCTAATGCTCTTTTAAATTTTAGATTACCTTCTACGTAAAGTCACAGTGCATTAGCCAGATAAGTGAGGCGTAAATACATTAATATGTATCCATTTAGGTCAACCAAAAAACGTTTCATCAATAAATATAACAATGGCAACAAATATAATAAAACGTATGCAATAAGATACATAATATATCTGTAAAGATTGACGGAATATAGTTAGGTACCTAAGTTAAGTTGTAAACTAAGCACATTACTATATTAGAATATAAAAGTATTATTGAGTGAAATAGCATATAACTGAGTTTGCTTTTGGGTTTGCAAAGGGTTCGGAATAGCGAGGGCGAACGCTCGAGGGGATTACGCATTGAAACTTCAACCACTTTATTAAGGAAAATATAATGAGTGCTGTCTCGTAGTATTAATAAAAAAGCGACAGTTTCAGTTTAAATCGTAGACAATAAAAAATCTTGGTAAAGTTTTTAATCTATTTATTATAATTGAATATATCTGTCTAATTATTAAATACTTCCTGCTAACCGCTATTCTTTACCTCTGAAATAACAACAGGTGTAATAAAATATTTGAAAAAGATATCATTCTATTTTAAAGAATGTGTTTTGGAAAATATACCGGGACTATTTCAAAAAGAATTATCTACTAAATAAAAACGTTATTCAGGAAATTAACGTTAACGATCTAGCTAAGAATGTTCAACTCTGCAGAAATAACTGTAATGTGAGGGGCAATGCACACTCGCCGCAGAAGATTATAATATTATGTAAAATCAAAATAACACACATAAAGAAATTTCAATATAAGAACTGAGTTTCTTTGGCATTCTTGAAGTAGACTTAATCGTTTAAAATTATTTTGTTATACAGACATATAAATAATTTGTTTTAAAATTTAATTAAGCTAAATCGAGGTGAAAAATTACATCCAATTCACAATATTAGTCGCCGTCGAGAGACAAGTGACATGAATACAAAATGTACATCGGACATTGTTGGTTAAGCCTATGTATACTAAGTTATAATACATCCGGTCCACCACGGTAACTGTCTTTTGTTTGGAGACACAAGGGAGGCGCAGTTTTACAAATAATCACCTATTCATGTTTTATGCAGACAGTCAATGGACTCGTCTAGGGAAAAATGTAAAAACGCAAATAATGGCTATTATAAATGTGAATCGACAAAATTGCTCGGTATTCATGTTTTTGGCACGTTGCTTTCAAAAAGTATTTGGAAATATTGTTTTGAATTTTCGTCGCGTTTTATAAAAATTAACTAGCTACTTGCAAATGATATAAAAATTGGAAAAGAATAATAAAATAATATTGATTTGTTATATGTATAATGGCAATGTTTCAGAACGGCAACAAATACATATAGGAATATTTAATAAGTATATAAGTTATATGATAACATCGTATATGTTGCTAAGCTCAAAACACGAAGAAAATAGATCAATTCGTGTATTTTTTTATTTATTCCTTGAACTCTGAGGAAGGTTTTTATGGAGAGAAAAATATGGAAGTAAGGTTAAGTAAAAGAACATTTTAAGGCGAAACGAAGTTCCCGGGGGCAGCTTGTTTATAATATAACCCAAAATGTGAAAAGAATACCTAAGTAATAAAAATATTAATGCAATTTTAAGTATGCTATGTAGGTAATTTTACCGAGTAGAATATACCCACTTTTTCCAATATCTTTGAGACGTATAATGAATGACGACATTTACAAGATAAAAGTATTATCAGGGGTAATATATCACTTAAAATAGATGAAGATGGTATAATTCATTTGAGATTATTTCTTGTCTCAATAACAAATATTGATGGACAACTTGACAAGGATGTGACGTTTATACAACGGAAATGCGTTAATAAACAAAAACTAAGGGTTAACAGCTACTATGTTGCAAAATACATGTTAATAAATAATAATATGTTAAGTGCCACATAGGTCTTAAAAAATAATGACATATACATATAAAGTAACTAACATATTTTACAGTCGAATACAAGTAGTTTCAGTTTTATTAAAACTGACGTAAAGTATTAACCGGATTTATTATGGACTTGTAAATCTATTATAGCGTGTATCTAACAACTCTAGAAAAACGGCACTTTCCAATTTTGCGTAAGTTTTTAATCAACCTGAAACAAAACTACATTAAGCGATCACGAAAAACACTGTTTTAAGCTCAAATACATGTTATTTAAATTATATATATTTTCGAGTATTCGATCTGTTACATAAATAAATATTACAATATATTTTGCATTGTCAGTTTTATTCGGCGCCTTTCATTATTAAAAATATAGGTAGGTAGGTAACCTACTTGGAAGACATGAAAAAAGTATTTAAATACAAGAGTACTCACTTGTTTTAATAATTTAGTGACTAAAGATTCTTGAAAGTTTGTATTGTTGTAAGTAATTAAAAATTAATTGCTACTATCTTTAATTAGCACTCCTGGGTACAATTTAGTATCCTGATAGTAGACAGTTCCATTACGAAAATTACTAGGCCTCCTTTGTACCATTTATTTCGGAAACACAAAGAAAACACGTCATTATAATGCAAACACCAAACAATAAGTCGTCAAGCAAACACTGTACACTGTCATGGACCATATGTTGCGCTAAAAATTAAGCATTGTACAACAACAGTTATGTCAGCCTTTCCACAACCGTAAACGGTAAGACAAGTACGACTTGAAATTGATCGTGAGATTAAAAAAGTTTAACAACTGGCCATATGGTCACAGTATAAGGGACCTTTGTTGAGTTTATATTCTTCGCTTATGGCGATCGTTTTATAACCTAGAGCTTTATGCCACAGATCCGATTAAAAAAGCAGACTTGTGACTTTTGAGAGCCCCATATCCGTATGTCCGTATCTAAGAACTATGTCATTTTTAAAGGTTCAGCCACAGAACAAAATAGATGTGAAGAAAAAAGGGTAAATCTTTTAAATTCTAAACGGATAAATTAATAACTTTAAATGAGTAATGAAAGTAATATGTAACTAAAGAGTGTAACTCAACTAACCACATAAGCAAATTATTTGCACTTATCGCTGTAGTGTTTTTCGTCAGAATTTTAGTGTGTTAAGTCAATTACAAAAAGAAAAAGTATTAACAATATCCTTATTCGGATTATACATTATCAGATAAATTCTGAAATACGACGTTTTATGTAATCGTGTTTTTGGGCCGACAATGGCGCCAGTAAACGATTTACTACAAATTAAAACGAGTATTTATTCGTACCATTTTTGGTTGTTTTATTTTTTTATAAGCTTACACGAATGTATAGAGATAAAATAATCTTAAAGCTAATTAATTTTGCTAAAGAAATGTTACCGGAAATATTTGTAATTTCCTATTTAATCGTCTCATGAGTTGTTCACGGTAAACGACCTTAACATGACTCAGTATATACGAAATATTTATTGGAATTGTCATTTTATACGTATTCAATGAATCATATCTTTGTATATAAAAATGGGCACGGAACAATAAATTTATTCATACACAGAAAAGATCTGGACCCACTTTTCACCATTCTCAGTCCATGATAAAATTTAGGGCAATTTCATCATTTTCTTATACAGAAATATATTTCCACTTCTATCGCGGACAGTGTGTAATATCACAAATTTTACAGCCAACCATAATGTTCTTCGTAGCGTTTTTAATGGTTTTATTTTTGCAGACCCCTTCGCATCAATTACGAACAGTGAACTCTGAGTCAGCATTTAGTCTGTGGGGCCCGGTTGCGTAGAAAGTTATTAAAATTTCACCGCGAATGCTTAACAGACTACGACGAGATTGAGACGGCTTAACCAAGGAGTTTATGTGAAGATTATGATCTAGATACACGAAATAAAGCGTTAAAAAAGGGCGAACTCAAAGTTAAAAATATAATTTAAAAATGTAAAACCATAATATGAAAGTTTTAACTATTCCCAAAATGATAATTTAAAGAGTTACCGTTAGGTAAAATTTATACTGTTGTATTAATTATCCAGATTCTAATTTAACCGGGATGGTATAATTCTTAATTAGATTATTATGATTTATATGCTTCTTAATTATAGCATTAATGTAAAAAACCTTATTAACTCCTCTGTTTTTGATAATATAATTAAGCAATTACTAACGAATATGTTTCTGTTAAACATTCACTTTTTTAAATGTGTGTTAGTTAATATTATGTACATAGTACGTCATACTCATGTAGACCCTCTGGTGGAGTTGTAAGCTATGCGTTAAATTCCGGACAACAAAAAATTGATGAGTTTAGAATGCACAGATTGATCCCGTCTTTTACTATTAAACTTTAAACTGACTAAATCAACAGAAAATAAATACGATTATAATTAAAAAGTCTAAATATAATAATTACTAAGTATATATATTTAATCGATATCTGACGAAGACTAAATATCCCGACTGGAATTCTAAATTTATCTAAATATTCAGTTCCCACTGCATTCTATTTTATAGTCATCTGCAAATCTCCACGCGACCTTGTGCCTATAAATAGTACACATTCCAGCTCATGATAGGACCAAAATGGCGGCCAGCCTTGTGCTAGCCTGTCAACAAGGTGACCCAACACGCAGCTTTTCTCCATATTTGGTTAGGGTTGTGAACTTTTGAACGCAATTATTGGAAAGAAAGATAATCTACCTCGCATTTGACATTATCGAATACTTAAAGGCCATAATTTTTCTACCATCAACACATAGTGTTTATGCAAAAAAGGGGCTAGGTTGCAGTAATATAACATTAGACAGTGAAAATATCTAGTCATTCATTTTTAAAACATGAGGTATGTTATGTATTTCTAACTAATAGACAAATAAATGTTAAGATATCTTATTATCTTTAAAAGTAAAGCCTTATGCAAT